ATAACAAAAGTTATCTCATGACACTTTTCAAATAAGTAGGTCTAGACCGAAAATAACAATCTCTATGTTTTGTCTGTATGTAAAAATTGGGGTTATTATCAGGATTACAATTTTAAAATAAAAATTAATACCATGCACATGCACAGTGCACACACATTACAGTTCTCGTCTTGCAGGTTCTCATGGATCCTGGTGGAGCCTCCTACCATGGTCCTGCTTGACTGCCATTGCTAATATCACTGATATTATTGTTATTATTATTATAAGTATTATTATTGCTACGGTTACTGTTGTTGCTGCTGTCACTGCTCACTGTCCCCCATCGTTGCTGTTGTCATGTTCGTCATCATCAGTCACCACTATTAGTGTAGTTGTTGCTACTGTTGTTGCTGTGCACCTGTCTGTCTGTGTCTCTCTCTCTCTCTCTCTCTCTCACCCCAACTGGTCGAGGCAAACGACCACCCACCTAGAGTCGAAGGGTCTGTCCTAGGTTTCTGCCTTTTAACAGGCAGTTTTTCCTTGCTTGCTCATGGTGGTACTGTTAGGTCTCTGTAAATGTTATAAGGAGTTCGGTCTAGACCTGCTCTATCTAAGAGTGTACTGAGATAACTTCTGTTATGAATTGGCGCTATACAAATAAAATTGAATTGAATTGAATTTAATTCTTCATGAGTCTCACAACAGCAGACTGGCAGCTCTACCAGGTGAGCTACCAGGACACCTCCATTATTTTGTCTATTAAAGCAGAAAAGGGAAAAACATCTCAATACACTGAGCAGAGGACACATTGTTGATGCCAGAAATCTTGGTTGGGGCAGTACGCATGCACACACAGCAACCAGCAGTGAGAGAGTTTTTACCTGTCCTTTACTCAACGCAGTTTAAAAATAACTTTGTGCTGTGTTATTACAACTTGTTGATCTGAATGATAGCTACTAGAACAGAGTTTTTCCCTTATTAGGGACTGAGCCAGTATCAACTGTAAGGTCCCTATTGTATTTGCTAAAGTTATTATTATTTTTAGCCCAGTTCACTGCATTTTTAATCCCCTGAACATATACGAAAAGTCAATTTTATTTGGGAAAGTTGTCAGGCCTGGTGAAAAATTGGATATTCTATGTGTCGCTTTCGGTTCAGCCACTAGGTGGCGCTACTATTAAGAAAAGTGCGTTTAGGCTAATAACTCCCACATCGTTTGTCGCACATTCAAAAACCTTACATCCACACGTTCAGTGAATGGAGCTGCATCTCCCCATATACGCCACGCCCATTTCCGCCTATAATTTTATTTCGCTGGAGCTCAAAATGTCCTTAAACTACTTTTTCGTATTCCTCCTATGCGCTTTTGTCCGATTCGCACAAAACTTTTTACATAGCATCTGGGGACCGTCCTGGCAAAAAAAGCAATTTAAAAATTTGGATATTTCAAAAAAATAAGCACGTCCTTTAGATTTTTCGTCAAAGAAAGACGTGGAGCATTTCTCCACAGTGGTATTTCCGATTGACACCAAACTTGGGTCCATAGTTCCCCATGTCTTCCTCAGGCATCGTGCACAATTTCAGGCCATCGGCACAAGGTGGCGCTCTTTAAAATGAAGAAGTTTATATCTCCACATCGGCACGTGTGATTAAAACGAAACTTGGCGCGATGATTGCCCATGGCTCCCTGAGGCTTGCTAAAAACAGTGTCAACAATCTGCCACTAGGTGGCGCTCTGGTGGCATGGTAAATCACGGTGCAGAGACCATAATACTTTCAGAGAAAAAAAAAATGCACAGGGCACGTATAGGCTGTTGCCTGTAGCTCACATACCAAAAATGTGTTTGTCATGTTTGTAGCGCCCCCTACAGTACTTCAAAAAAGCAGCCCCGGCGCCACATTTCACCGATATGTATGAAACTAAGTAGGCACGTGTAACGTCCAAGACCTACAGAAAAGCCTCTTGGACCCATACCCCCAAGCCCACGGGAAGTCGGCCATTTTGATTTCAAAATTGGTCAGTACAATCAAAACAAACTGTAGATGAAAAGTTGCGTTATTTGTGACTGTGACAACTTGTCGAATTCAGCCGTTTCGCCATAAAACAGTATTCATAACTTCAGTGTGCAATGTCCAATCTCCAATAAACTTAATATATTCTGTTACAGTCTCGCCCTGAACACGTCCTCATAACTTCAGCATATATGGTCCAATCTCAATGAAACTTCACGTTTGATAACAGTCCCGCCCTGAACATGTCTACATGACAATATTCAGACATAGTGATAACGCCACCTACTGGCAACAGGAAGTAAGCGCTGCGTGTCGATTTTGAGCTGATTTACGTGAAATTTTCATGTTGTGCTCCGCACGTGTTATGACGGCACGTGACGCGGCCGCAGCACGCCCCGAGTTGTGTTGAGTGCAAAGTCCCGCCCAATGCTGCTTGCAGCTTTAATTTACCTTTATTTCTTTTATCTTATATAAACGATGACCTTTATCGTTTTTCATGTTTGTATCATGCTTGTCAGTTGTCTGAGTTGTTTGCTGGTTTTGCATTTTTGTCAAGATGAGTCTTTGTCTTTTATTGTAAACTAAATCTACCTATGGGTCCAAGGTAACATTGTTCTGCTGTCGTAAAAGTCATCTTATTGAAATTTCTCTTGTCAAGTTATGGGGGAGAGGGATTGGTGAAAATTGTAAATAAAAAAAGAAGAAATCTGTAAAATTAACAGGAAAAACTTTCAGATTTTTTGTTTGTTTGTTTGTGTGAGATGTGATGATCACCCTGCCAATTGGTAAATACGTAGTTTGTAGCAGAGATCTCTGGAATAAGTTTCCTCCATGAAAAAATAAACATTCTTAGCCAAATGAAATCATTGTAAACCTACAAGCATGAAACCTGAGCAAGTGATGTTTAATGATCCTATAGCAGTTTACTACTATGCTCTGTGAGTGTGTGTGTGTGTGTGTGTGTGTGTGTGTGTGTGTGTGTGATAGGGATCTTTATGGATGGACCGGGGAATCAATCAAGCAGAATCAAGTCCCAGCCTCATGTGCCTCTGTCTTATCAAGTGGCAGCACGCTGACCGATGGTCCAGATTTAAGATGATCTACATGCCTTTACGCAAGTGGGACTAATCCATCAAGAGCAGACGCTCACTCCATCATCCCTGCTTACACTTGGGGGGGGCATTATCCCCCAGGAGGAAACAAAGAGTAAAAAAAAATCTGCAAAGCCATTGTACAGTTTGCATAATTTTTTAACCAGAGATAGCATCATAAACTGTTTCACGTTATAAATCTAACAATCTGACACCTGCATTTAAAGTCAAAGTTCCAGTGCAAAATACAACTCAATTCAATTCAATTCAATTTTATTTGTATAGCGCACAATTATAACATTATCTCAGGACACTTTTCAAATAGAGCAGGTCTAGACCAAACTCCTTATAACATTATTTACAGAGACCCAACAGTACCACCATGAGCAAGCACTTGGCGACAGGGGCAAGGAAAAACTTCCTTTTAAGAGGCAGAAACCTTGGACAGACCCTTCCGCTCTAGGTGGGTGGTCGTCTGTCTCGACCAGTTGGGGAGAGAGAGAGAGAGAGAGAGAGAGAGATACAAGGACTGCAAATAGTCAAAAGAATATGCCCTGTCTTTTCCTAAATCCTTATCTAACCTGGGGGGAAAATGTCATGAGATCAAGGAAAAATGTGAAAGAGAATATATAAGGACTTAAGAAAAAACAACTGCAGTGCTATGAGAAGCCAACTGCACGTACACAAAGCTTTCTTTTTTGTTATTAACGTTATTGTTCTTTAACATGGGTACACAAACAAATACCCAACAATTAACCACCACCCTTTGCGGCAACCCAGTCCACATTACAATTGGCCTTAGCAAGAAAATGGATATAAAAGTTATTTAATACAATCCAAGTAAGGTTTCCTGTCCAAATCAGAATCACACCTCTATAGAAATTATGTTTTCAATTCATACAAACGGTGTGTTTAATCATCAATTACTAAGTAAGTAACAACAAAATAGATTTTGTTGAAAATAAAAACAAAACAAACAGGAAATGTTGAAATAATGACATAAAATTGATATACAGAATATAACTAGAGAAAGTTGAGCTGGTTATGGTAGATTATCATCATCAAAATGTAATAATACGGACAACAAAGACCCCCACCAATATCCTTACTACACAGAGCTGACTTTTTTGGGTCAATCTTATTTATGAATTGAGGTGATATCTGAAGGCAATGTAGAAATTTGAATTGTAATTCCTTTGTTATATACATATGGATGTTATTATATAGCTCCCATATATCTGTAGTTTCACAGTTTTACATAAAAAATCTATAGGAAATATGTATAATGCAATATATAATAACAGTGTAATGACTAAATTCTAATAATGGTTACTAATAATGCTGAGAACTGGATCCAGGAATAAGTGTATACAGAATAACAGTATAGTATACAGTATAAAAAGGGTTTGTCCTTTAGGAAGTATAAATGTGCTCTGTACATTCCAGCATTCCATGGAAAGTTTGTCTTGATGGTGGTGCTGAGGACCACAAACCCCAGCAGCAAACATCAAGGAAATCCAACCAGTTTGAGATACTTTGTCACAAAATTTTTGTCAAGAGGGCATTTTGACCCAGCAATGGCCCTAAAGATGGTAAAATCATTACAAATCATCCTTTGGAAGGTTCTAAATATCCACAGCAAAATTATTGGCAGTCTAGTTGAATAAGATATGTTGCTCTGGACCAAAACATTAAACGGAAGATAGGGTGAAATAATGCAGCTGACAGAAAAATCATGTTCTTGCTTTGGGATATTTGTGACAGCACAGGCCACACTTCTGCAGAATAGCATTCAAAGTTCTGTATTTGACCACCATCTACAATTCCTAATGTTACGGGTCCCAGAATTGGTACCACAGCAACAATAGAGAAATCTGTAAAATACACATAAAGTTCAACAGCAATGCATACACGGAGTTTTCAGTTCGTCATCCAGATTGCATCTGTTTCTTTAATTCACAGTATAATACACAATACCTGAACATTTCCCTGAGTGTCAGTCTCTGTCTCAGTCCATACAGTAACTGTGGCTTAAGTGCCTAAAACATCCATGAACCCAATTGTTCAATAACGTCTCACAGAATGTATTTACAGCTGTAGCTACTTCACATTTTTGGTGTACTTCTTACAGTTTTCTACTTCCAACAACATTCAAGTACACATTATCACCTATATATAAGTGAATCAGGGCTACTATACTGATATAGTGCAAGTTACAGCAATACTCAACTGTACTTAAAGCAAGCAACATCTAGTCTGCAGTGATTCTGGACTTACACACTTAATTTGAATACACGTATCACTCAGAGAAATACATACATAAACACTTTCAATGTAAAACCATTAGGACATAACTCAATATTACAATATAGTATTTTACCTTTAAACTCTATACATTACAATATAAACATTCTCCTCAAACAAATGTAGCTCTCTGAAGCCTTTAACAGTTGTAACCATTTTCCTTAAGCTTTTAAATATGTCAGAGCCCAAATAACCTGTGCAAAGTAAATAAACCTAAAACCTGGCGACCTGCCTGTAAGACTATACTCAGGTAAATAAACCCAAAAGCCCGCGGTGCGGCACCCGCCCACCCGGCGGTATCTGAAGCTTTGTTCTGCTGGTGTTAGTGTGCGGGACCAATAGCCGATCACCCTCATCTTTCCATCCTGGTTTTGGTAGAGGACTGCTCCGAGGCCCTGTTGAGAGGCATCGGTATGGAGTATGAAGGGATGGTCAAAGTCTGGGTACGCTAGCACTGGCAGGTTGGTTAGGATGTTTATGAGGCGCTCGAGGATCTGCTGGTGCTCACTGTTCCACACTACTGGGGTGCGTGATGGCAGTTGAGGGCCCTTTGTTTTTCCCCTTGTAGGCTTGGGTTGTGGTGGACTGGACTTTACCTGGAGCAGCTCGTATAGCGGTCTTGCTATGCGTGAGAAATCTTGCACATATGCTCGGTAATTGCTCAGAAAACCTAGCAGTCTGCAGTTTGATCTCCACCATCCACCCGAACACTGTGTGTGTGTGTGTGTGTGTGTGTGTGTGTGTGTGTGTGTGTGTGTGTGTGTGTTGCTTTCTGTCGGGAGGCAAAACCTAGCCTACGCTGGTGTTCCTTTTCGTCACTGATTATTTTCATTACCTGGCTGACAATTTCCTCATCAGTAACTTGGCTGTTCGAGAGGAGTGGCCTCAGCTGTTGTCTGATGTCCGTATGTTTGGACCCTAGGTCCTGGTAGATGGTGTGAAGGAAAACCTCCTGGATTGTTTTGGGGTCATAGCGAATGTCTTTGTTGGCCTGCTTTGACTGGAAGATTATTTTCTGTTTAAGTCCAATCATGCGATACAAAAACTGCTGGGGGGGTTCTTGTTTGTTTTGTTTTGCACACATTAGTTCCTGGAACAGCTCTGTACTGGCCTTTTCACCAAGATGAGACCTGAGGAAGCCCTTGAGTTCACAGATTGTTATTTCATCTTTGTTGGTGAGCCCCTGGCTTAACAACCCTCAGCATTCCTCAGATAACCTCTGTCTCTGTGAAGCCCTCCCTGACTCCCTCATCTATCTGTTTGCAGATGCTGCTATATGTGATGTCAGAGTTCTGGTCCCCAATCTGTCCCCCATGTACCTTAAATTCCCTACGCTGGAGATAAGGGAGATCCTTTAAGGAGACTATTTTCTCTGTGTCAACCTTTGGTGGAGTGTGACGTGGAGGTTGATGTGGTGCTGGCTCACCTAGGCTGTGATGCCTACTGTGTGCTGTGCTAGCCATATTATTGTAGTGTTGCAACTTCTTGCCTAGCTCTTCATGCATTACTTGAAGCTGGTCTACACTCTGAGTGGTAGTGTCTGTGCTAAGGTTAGTGTGCTGTTGTGTGGTATGGACTGTGGCGACAGCCGCTGGAAGAGCAGTACTGTGTCTGGTACTTGGTGTGTCACTGTTAGTATGTGATAGTGTAGTGTGATCCACTATGCTGGATGGCATGGTTGTGAGTGTCTTATATTCCTGTATATCCCATTTGTGATGACAACTGTATTACGATCATGAATGATACTACATACCATATCATTCAACATTAACAACTGACTCATACCTTCATCTTCAGAACTAAGTAAGGTATCAGACTGCATATAGCTAAGGATATAGTCCACACAACCTTCCTCATCAGTGGACTCCAAGTCGTCTGCATCTTGACTGTCAGTCGCAACGTCCCTTGCAAGCCTGTGGACTTCGATGGCCAAGGGCTTGTACAAGTTCTTTTTGATGCCCCATACTAGTTCTTTGCGCGCTGTGGACATGACGTGCGTTGCTCTGGTGAGGGAGCAGTGCAGTTCCTCTTGGAAGAATGAAGACCCTCCTCAGGCTCTAATCTCCCCTCATGGACACCCACCAGCTGTCGTCACAGCAACAGTCACGTCACCTTGCCTTGGCCTTGTGGTTCTGTTATCAATGGATCTGTTCCCCTCGACAATTCTGGTGGTGACAGATCCCGGACGAGCCCCCACAATTTGTTACAGGTCCCAGAATTGGTACCACAGCAACAATAGAGAAATCTGTAAAATACACATAAAGTTCAACAGCAATGCATACACGGAGTTTTCAGTTTGTCATCCAGATTGCATCTGTTTCTTTAATTCACAGTATAATACACAATACCTGAACATTTCCCTGAGTGTCAGTCTCTGTCTCAGTCCATACAGTAACTGTGGCTTAAGTGCCTAAAACATCCATGAACCCAATTGTTCAATAACGTCTCACAGAATGTATTTACAGCTGTAGCTACTTCACATTTTTGGTGTACTTCTTACAGTTTTCTACTTCCAACAACATTCAAGTACACATTATCACCTATATATAAGTGAATCAGGGCTACTATACTGATATAGTGCAAGTTACAGCAATACTCAACTGTACTTAAAGCAAGCAACATCTAGTCTGCAGTGATTCTGGACTTACACACTTAATTTGAACACACTTATCACTCAGAGAAATACATACATTTTCACTTTCAATGTAAAACCATTAGGACATAACTCAATATTACAATATAGTATTTTACCTTTAAACTCTATACATTACAATATAAACATTCTCCTCAAACAAATGCAGCTCTCTGAAGCATTTAACAGTTGTAACCATTTTCCTTAAGCTTTTAAATATGTCAGAGCCCAAATAACCTGTGCAAAGTAAATAAACCTAAAACCTGGCGACCTGCCTGTAAGACTATACTCAGGTAAATAAACCCAAAAGCCTGCGGTGCGGCACCCGCCCACCCGGCGGTATCTGAAGCTGTCGCCATAGACAGTGGCGGAATTTCAAAGTTTTGAAGTTCGACAGAAATGCTCAAAATGATATCAAAATGTCTCTGTAACACTCACCACATTAAAGCTAGGCTTGAAGAAGTTGACATTGATAATTTTCACCAATACTAACATCCAGATTGCATCTGAGGTGTGGGCGGAAGTCCCCGCTGAGACAACCCGGGACGCAACAGCTCCAGTGCCAAAAGTTCCACTTGGGTGCTGCTTACATTTACGGTTTCTCTTCACAATACATATGAAAAATAAAATAGCGTGACTGTCATCTAAATTATTGGAGATAATATTAGACTCTGGAAATCAAAGGAAATTACCTTTTAGCTAATTAAATTAAATAAACACAAAAGTGCACAATTCTGGGGTGTACCACACTAACCTAGCATGTCCTCATTCTCAGCCCTTCCACCTGTGTCCTGAAGCTAACCCTCTGCCTTGAGTTTCCTGTTAAATCCCACATTTTCTCCAAAAGCTCACATCCCCTTCCCTCCACAATTAATTCACTCGTTTATCCTCTGTTCCAGTCAAGGTCAGGGACTGTGATATCGTAATTAAAGAAGAAAAGGAAGAAGAAAGTTTTCTGTCTTCAAATGAAGCTTCAAATTTGTGAGCTGTTCAATCACATCTTTTAAACTCACTTAACCCCTGATTAATCCCCAGTGGTCTTCAGTTGGCCGAGCTTCCCACTAATGAAATTAAGAGCATAGGAAGCCTCCATAACAGATTCAGCACACATCGCTGGGACAGGTTGGAGACTTGACATGCATGTGCAGAATCACACAGCCAGCTTGAACCAGAGGTTGATGGACGCTCTGTGGCTCTCAGGACATCTGCCTGTTCTTCCTTCCTACCAGGTCTTCATTAATCAATTATGTACATGAACAGAAAGTAATCTATGTGTGAAATCTCTAAAGAATTCCAACAGTATTTGGAAGAACAAAGGTGTGTAAATTCACTTCCAGCTCTGACAATTCACCAATCAGAACCAGCATTAACTTAATCAGCAGTTTGAGCTACAGTAGCTCGTCTGTTGGATCGTCACTCCCCACATGACCCTGTCTCCGGTTCACAGCTTTTCCTTCCTCGGAGCACTTTTGATAGGTACTGACCACTGCAGACCAGGAACACCCCACAAGAGTTGCAGTTTTGGAGAGGCTCTGACCCAGTCGTCTAGCTATCACAATTCGCCCTGTGTCAGTCGCTAAACAAAATGTTCACTTGATGCCTAATATATCCCACCCACTGAGAGGTGCCATGATATTCACTTTACCTGTCAGTGCTCATAATGTTATGGCTGATCAGTGTGCTACATCTGCGTCAGCTGTCACATTACCATCCACCAATTAAATGGTAAATGGTAAATGGACCTGTACTTGTATAACGCCTTTCTAGTCTTCTGACCACTCAAAGCGCTTTTACACTACGTGCCACATTCCCCCTTTCACACACATTCACTCAGTAATGGTAAAGCCCATCAAACAGAAACTAACTCATTCATACACATTCACACACCAATGCACGGCATCGGGAGCAATTCGGGGTTAAGTATCTTGCTCAAGGATACTTTTGACGTGTGGCACCAGGAGCCGGGGATTGAACCAACAACCTTCCAATTAGGGGACGACCTGCTCTGCCTCTGCACCACAGCCGCCTCAATTAAAAGGTCCAGTGTGTAATATTTAGGACGATTTATTGACACAAATAAAATATAATGTTCATAGGCATGTTTTCATTAGTGTATAATCACCTAAAAATAAGAGTTATGTTTTTGCTACCTAAGAATGAGTCGATATTTTTCTAGAGACGCTGCGGATCGCCTTCGATGGAGTCCGCCATGCTGAACTGCCATGTTTCTACAGTGGCCCATAACGGACAAACCAAACACTGGCTCTAGATAAGGGCGTTCACGTTTTTTGCATGTAGTTGTAATCTGCAACTACACATTTAAAGGGGACCTATTATACTTTCTGTCACATATATGTATATAATGTTAATTTAGGGTAATAAATTCACCGATCCAAAGTCTGGTGCCATTACAGTCAGAGGCAGTCATGTAACACTAAATATGTGGTTTACTTGTTAAAATGCCCATGTAACTTATGTTGGGCGGGTTGAAAACCAGGATCGGTTAACATAAGTGTTCTATTCATAATCATGATTTTAAATCATCAGTCCCTAGACTTAAATAATCATGGGGCGGCTGTGGCTCAGGGTCGTCCACTAATTGGAAGGTTGTCAGTTCAATCCCCAGGTCCTCTCGCTGCATGTCGAAGTGTCCTTGAGCAAGAAACCGAACCCCAAATTGCTTGAGTGTGTATGAATGATTAGTTTCCGCTCTGGTGAGCAGTTGGCACCTTGCATGACAGCCACTGTCATCAGTGAATGGGGTGAGTGTGGCATGTGGGGTGAGTGGTTCCATGGAATGGCACCGGTGACAACGGCAGCCTGTCATGGTAGCTCCTATCATTGTTGTAGTTTTAGTGTGTTTTCAGTGTTTTCAGTGTGTTTTTTGCTATTTTCAACTGTTTTCTTACTTTCTTACTACTTTGTTCACGTCGCCTAAATACTTTTTGGGCGTTTTTGAGCACTTTTTATTTTTTGTTTGCACGGGTCTCCATGGCGACGGCGAGTCGCATTGTTTACACCTGCGACCAGATGATCGCCCTGAGGCACCCTGGCATCCTGACTGGAGAGAGACCCTCCATACCGGAGGAGCTGAGGAGGAGACGGCGAGGCTGCAGAGCGGGGGTTAAACGGAGGATGAAGAAGAGGAGCTTTAAACCCTACAAACGTGGCAACACGAGCAGATACCGGACTACAACGTCACCATTCCCGGATTCCAGACGGTTCGAGCCGACAGGGACACCACCGCGACCGGCATGAAGAAAGGAGGGGGACTGTCCGTGCTCATAAACAACAGGTGGTGTAACGCCGGGCACGACTGTGTGAAAGAGCGTCTGCAGCCCGGACATCGAGCTCGTCGCTGTCGGACTTCGTCCGTGTTATCTGCCACGGGAATTTTCCAGTGTTGTCGCCATCACTGTCTATGTTCCTCACAGTGGTCTTCATCATCACCATCACTGTTTACATTTATGATGTCTTATTTATTCTCCTGTACAGCACTTTGGTCAACTTTGGTTGTTTTTAAAGTGCTTAACAAATAAAGTTGGATTGGATTGGATGTAGTGTACAGCGCATTGAGTGGTTGAAAGACTAGAAAGGGGCAATATAAATACAGTCCATTTACCATTCCCCATAACCACAGCTTGAGTGAACAACATTACATGAGACAGAGAAGACATAATGGATAACTTCTTTGATACCCTCATTCCCATGATATGAATAAAGATTGTTTTGTTTGGCTTGTTTTTAATGTATTTCTTACATTGTGTATACAATGTTTTTGAGTTTTTGTGTATTTTATATCATGTGACTGTGCCTGTGCTTGTAGCTTAACCTGTCTTGCCCAAAATGTCCATTTGGCAAAATGAAAAAGTTTAATGGGAGTGCTGTCCAAGTCCATTGCTTTTTTATATATTGTCACAATGAGATGTTCATATTAAACGTGGCCAAGCTAAACTGACATATGCTGTCATGCACACTGGCAAGAGGATGAGGCAGTGCTCTCAAAAGCACTGGTTGGCCTACTTCTAGAAGTTGGCCAATAAGAAGAAAGTGGGCTTTTACAGAGGGGGGGCTTAAAGAAACAGGAGCTAAAGCAGGTTCTTTCACACAGAGGATGAACTGAGGGACTGCATAAAGGGTCAATATAAGAAAAAAAATGTTTTTTAAACTGTGAATCATGCAAAGCTAGTCTAGTGGAGTAGAGCTGGAAATGAGCACAATGGTCCCCTTTGAAGGGTAGACTGCTATCAAGGAACAAATAATCAAACTGACAACATAAAGAATACAAATTCACTAATAGCATCTGACTTTAAATATTTAATATATAGCACATATGTGTCTACTAATAGTAAAGTAATAAGTAAAGGTCATAAGGTATTTTACCAATTACAAATTAAGTGGACAAGAAGGATGAGCCATGTTAAAGCCTGCAGTGAAATGATGTGGACAAATTTGTTGGGACTACTGAGAGAGTCCACAACCAGAGGAAAATAACAGTCAAAATTAAGAAAAGTCAAACAATGACTAATAAAAACACTAATACTAATGGTACATACTCAGCAAGGACCATAGTTTAAATCTAAGACTTTCATGATATGAAAGACAAAACCAAATTGATATCATCTTATTTGCTCTTTATTTTCTTAGCTCTAAGTTACTAGTTCTTCCTGCCTCACATGAAACACATTCAGTTTAATTCATCCATTACACTGACTGACATACATGTTATACTGGTTTATTTTATCTGTAAAATAATACTGCAACAAGTTTATTCCCCTGTTCGTACCTGTTTCACAAGTACAGGGTTTGTATGGTCACATTAGTTACTACAGATAAATAAGAATTTGGTCCCAGTCTTAAATCAATTAAATCATTAAAACCGGATGTCCAAAACTTCAGGCCATAGGCAGCTCATGGTATGCTGCATACTGCCCAGTAACGTGATGGTAGATCTGTAAAAACAAGAACACTTGGGGAAAAAAGTACTTGCAGAAAGGTATGAAAAAAGTACTGCATACAGTGCGTGTCGAGTACCCACCTGCCTCTCGATGTCAGCCAACAGGCTGCTGGCTCCCAGGCGGAAGAGGAGGGGGCAGAGCCAGTCGTTGCCTAGCTCCTCTTTGATCAGAGTGAGCCACAGCAGAGACTCCTGAGCTGTCCGGATCCCTCCTGCTGGCTTAAAGCCCACCTGAGGGAGCACATATCAAATCTGTCAACCGGACACACACTTCACTTAAGTCTTAGAACACTCCCTTTTTTGTAATTATGCATTCTTTACTATTTTTAAAAAAAAAGCACAAGCAACTATGAAGCATCACTGCAGTCATACTAACGTGTCTTTGCCTTTGGCTGCTGATGTGAACATATTTCAGAGTATCCTCTTTGATGAAAACTTCTGTTGACTCTTTCTGTGTCTGCCAACAAAACTCTGCTTTAAACCACCTTCTGCCATGATGAATGTTTATGACAGCACGCAACTGTCCAGTCTACAGTGTGGGGAGAAGATCCCTCTTGTCTTTTTGTCACTTATTGTAATAATGAAATAAAAATAAATAAAACTAGGCTTTTTATATGGTGTATACAGATTGCAGTTTGAGATACTTTTACCCTGAAATGACACCAGGGATGCCTTTAAGAAGCCAAATCTGTGACACGGTATATTTTAAAAAAGGACACAAAACAAATTGTTTCTCTCCTCTGACTTACTTGTGGCACCAGACTTGTGGTCTGGTGCCACAACATTGATGGAGTGTTAGATTCAAACAGAGAACGGAGTCTGCAAAGGGTATTTTATATTGAAAATTGACAATATTAAATTCTCTATGCTGTTTCTGTGTCTGACTTCCTGCCAGTGTGATCTGCTCTGTGCTGCCTGACGCAGATGGGACACAGCTTCCATCAAAAATAGACCAGCATATAGTACGCAGACCAAAGCGGAGAGATCCGTCTGGGATGCGCCGCAGCTTGTATAGTGGAATCTCAAGCATTGTCTAGAATGGACACAACCAGTGCCTGGCAACGTGTGCATACTGACTGCAGGTGTCATACATTTGAAGGCAACACTGCATGTGCTTGTTTTAAGGTTTGTGCAGATTTTTGCTCTTGATCTCCACAGACATTGGAGCAGCTAATTGCTCAGTAGCAGTTCCTGCCCTTTACAATCCCATGGCTGGTTACTGAATAGAACTAAGAAATTAGATATTTCGGCCAGTAGAGAGGAAAAACTCCATGCAGTGTCCAGCTCACTTTAACTCCTCCTCATTAACCAGAAAATATTTACGGCCTACAGAAAGCCAGGAGTAAGTACTGTACCTTGTGGCCCGTACGCAAGAAGTAGTCACGGATGGCCCTCACCATCACTATAGCAACAGAGTAAGTAGCATTGACAGCCTCCTTTCCAGTGGAGGTCTTGATGAAGTCGGAACCTGTCGGGTTTAAACAGGTGACATGTAGTCTTCAACACAGAGTGGAGCATGTAATACAGTGCTGCAGATATTGTCATGTTGCGCTCATTGTCATCAGTCAGTACGTTTGTTATTCAGTTGCTCCACATTCAGAACTGTACAGGAAGATTCAACATGAGATGAGCTGCTGAAGGAAGGAAGCAGAGTCAGCGACAGTGTGGCAGAGAGGATGGACAGGGCATTACTCCGACAGTCTGGTCTGGCCAGACAAGAACATATGCTGCTGCTGATGGCTAACAGAGGGCAGCTGCACGCTCATCAATAAAATTCTTCATTTTTCCTTCCCTTCCTTCACAGCCAATTATGTTTTATCAGCTTTGCTGATAAAAATAGAAGATGAAATGACGCTCTTTAATAGATTACCCACAAACTGCGGGCTGCAGGAAAGAAAAAAAAAAATTCAGCCCTTCTGCCTCCCTGGTGTATAATGACTGTTCATTACTGAACAGAGCAAGATGAACATTTTCCAGTTCATTAAAGACATGTTCTATGTATTTTTCCAGTCAGGTCTTTTTTTCAGCCTCTCTCCCCTCATCCTCAAACTGGCATAATCCTTAAGATTCGTTATGGGGAGTCTTAATTACCAGATAATGGATAACGGTTATTAAATGCGGGTGGCGGTAATGAAGCTCTATTCATTTGCGTGGGCAGGGGGATACTGGCAGGGAACAGCAGAGTAAAATAGCCTGCATCAGAGATTAATAGGTGAAATTATCATTCAATTTCATGAATCTCATACGCAATTCATAGGAACAAGGGGAGATTAAGGAGTGAGTGTGGCGACAAAAGCAATGCATTTTAATAATGATCTCTATCAGAGCCCCTGACAATTTGGTTCTGTAATCTGCTTATTATGTGATGGCTAGTTAAGCACACACTGTGTGTGTGTGTGTGTGTGTGTGTGTGTGTCTGTGTGTGTGTCTGTCTGTCTGTGTGTGTGTGTGTGTGTGTGTGTGTCTGTCTGTGTGTGTGTGTGCACAGGAGAGAGGGAGAGCTCTACCGATCAGGTAGGCAAGAGAAAAAGTTCAAAAGCTAAACAACAGTGCCACAAGCCGGATGACGGCAGGAATTACAGGAAGCCTACAAATTTCGGAAACTTGGATTTTTTAAAACCTCTTTCAAATCAGACCAATGCCATCACAAAATGGAAAAAACCTTCCTACTAACAGTCAACACAACACGCATGACGGCTTCTTCAAGACTGCAGCCTCAATAGGTCTGAATGTAGGTCAGAGCCAAATACACAGTAAATGTAGTTGAGCATGTAAAACAGAAGAAAATAGACTTAAAAGGCATAAATGTACACTTCCTGTTGTATATGTAGACAGGTCAATGTGGGACGGAAAACAATCTGCTACTTATCAATCTTACCATCAGGAAACTAAATGACCTCGGTACTGGAACATCGATCTCAGAGGATGTGTTTGATCCCAGTTCTGTTTGAACTCCCACAAGTTAAACTTTTTTCTTTTTATGTCTTGTCCAGGACTTGCAGACACCATGTCATTATACAGTGGCACAGCCAGTGTTCTCCAGCTGCCATACAGGTTCTTTCTGCCTCATCCTACAGCTTTCACACTCATTCAGGTGCCACTCACACATCGCAGAATGTCACCATGAAATTGCGCTATGTTAACAAAATCATAGTCATACACGCACACTAGACCCATATGTGAGTTATTTACTGTTCCACATTCATAACACATAGTCTGATGACGAGCCTCTCACTCTCAGAAGGAAAGAGTATGAGCGTATTTGTTAACTGTTAAAATGTTAACTAAATGTTAATTGAAACAAAACTATTTGTTTAAAGCAGTGGTCTCCAACATGTGTGTCCACAGAGCATGTTCTCTAATCTCTTAATCAAAAGGTTCACTGTGTAGGATTTAGCGGCATCCGTGTAAGTGACAGTGTAATTGCACATTGAAACTCCTTCACTTCACCCTCCCCTTCCGAGCCCAAAGGAGAAATTACAGTGACTGTGAAAAGCACGAAAAACGCCAACGGCCCTACCAAGAGCCAGTGTTTGACTTGTCTGTTCTGGGCTACTGAAGAAAAATGACAGGGTCTACGAAAGACAACCTGCAGCATCTGTAGATAACAACAGCTCATTCTAAGGTAACACAAACACAATTCTGTGTCACAAATGGTGGCCTTGGCCCTTGCAAAAAGTTGCACTTTTAGATTTTCATGATATGTGTATGAATTAATTGGTTAACCTTGATTAGGCGAACTCAGTAAATTGACTTTCAGTTTATATCAGTCATAGAATCCAGTCAGTCTTTCTCATAAGATCCTTCTGTGTTATTAATAGGGTGATATGGCCTAAGACAATACATTGACTAATATAGCAATTGCAGTATGATTCATGATCTCTAATTTAATTTTCACTGAAAAAACTATTAAAATCATGATGCGAATGTTTTTGGGGCGATTCACAGATTGAAATGAATCGATCTAATCAGAATCAGAATCAATCACTTTTATTGGCCAGGTATGTGCACATTTGACTCCCGTTTTACGCTGCTCTCAATGTACATACACAGAATAAGCAGAATAATCAATAAACAGGACAACAAGCTCAACAAAATAGACATAAACTAAATAATAATCAATTTATTCCCCAGCTCTAGTTACTACAAGGACCTAGGGTCTACAATTATTGAATATTAATCGCCATTACGATTTTGGCTTCCCACAATTAAATGAACGTGATTGTCTACAATACTGACGTCTACTATGTATGCCTGGCTCATAGAAACTCTGCTGCATATCAAATCAAGCGCTTTCAAACAGCCATAAATATAAATGAATTAGTTAGTTTCTGCTTGTGATGGTCTTTGCCATCAGTGTATGAATGTGTGTGAATGGGTGAATGTGGCATGTAGTGTACAGTGTATTGAGTGGTCTAAAGACTAGAAAGGCCCTATATAAGTGCAGTCCATTTACCATTTATCAAAACGGTGTAGCCACCACAACCAAAGAAAAACTAACTTCCACACTTGCAATTCCAAATCAAGGTAGTCCAGCCTTGTGTATGAAAATGACAAAAGGTGATAAACGCCAAAATTCTATTTTATTGAAAGTATCAATTTAACATGGATGTCAAGTATAAATAGCACTCTAAAAGGTTGGAGACCCCAGCTTTAAATGAATGTGTGTGAATGTACTGTGACTGTGACAAACACACTGAAACATGTCGGAGCAGCATGTTAAGTTGTGGTAAGACTGACCAGCCATCATGGCAACCAGGCTGGCTTTGTAGACGTTGGTGAAGGTGCCCAGCTCTCCAATAGCCAGGATGGTCTTCATGTGGGCATCACCACAGGCCTCCCGAAAACTGCAAATCTCATCATACATGGCTGTATAGGGGGACAGGAAACATTTGAGCAAAGTGTCAACAAAAGGTCACATCATCAAAACTGAAAACACAGGACTGAACCTACTTAAATCCCTAAAACAATCATTTCAGTTGTTATGAGTTGGGAAATACACAAAATTATCTAATTATTTGTTTTTTAGTGTCCCCTAGAGCTATACTGTGGGGGCAAAAATAATTCCTCAGCATCTGATAACTAATTACATTAATCACTTAAACAGTACCCTGAGACAAAACAGTTATTTTTGCTTTTTAGTAAGAAGCAGAAAATGGTTTTCATGTTTTCTGTGTTTTCTTGTTGTTTGTAGCCATCTGACTCCAAACCAGAGGTTCTCCAAGTGAGAGAAAATTATTCACTTTTACAACTAAATCATTTTCCCTTTATGATCTTGACAGTTCACTCTTGACCGTGGAAACAGCAGTTGGTCAAACACTCTCCACTCACAGTCCTTCACCCACACTGCAAAAATTCATCTGGTCCATGCACACGGCCCAGATACAGCAATTAATTATGGTCCACATATGGGCCAGATCTGCTAGCCACATATGGCCCATGACATAGCCATGTCTCAACTAACTGTATGACCATAGATGGACCCATTCTGGCCCTATGTTGGGCCAGACACATTTCAGCAGTCTTTTTTGGGCAATGGTTTACAAGTTCATGTCGTAGTGTTTACTGGCTCATTTAATTATAACTCTACACATGACTACATATGCAGTGCTGACAAGGGAAGAAGAGAGGAGGGACAGGGCTCGATATCAAATTTTTTTCTCAGCGTCTTGCAACTGTCCCAAATTCTACTTTCAACTGTCCCAGACTTAACAATTGTCCCAAACTGAGGTTAATTTCCATTCCACATATTGAACATACTTTGTTCCCTGCATTTATATGTGAATAAAACGCTGAGGTGTACAATCAGTTGTCATTATTGTTACTGTTTCTTGTTTATTTCTAACCTTTGGATCAATAAATGCATCACTGCAAACTGCTCTGCAAATGCAAACCAACTTCTAAAATTTACATTGAAACATTATTATTATTTTGCCAAACAAGCACAAACCCACAACATCATATATAAGGAGTACTAAACTAAGAAAAAAAATGGAAGGGAGAAGACTAGACAAACTTTTTAAATACTTTAAATACAAACCAAAACAACTATTTTTATATAAGCCCTATCCAGAGAGAAAGAGTGAAAGAGAAAGAAAGAAACCAATTCTGTTCATATTTACAAGTTAAAGGAACACCCTGATCTACAGATCTAGAAAAAAAAGAGTGAGAGAGAAGGTCAAACAAACTTATTTAAATATTTACAAGATCAAACAAACTATAAGGAGTTCGGTCTAGACCTGCTCTACTGGAAAAGTGTCCTGAGATAACTTCTGTTATGAATTGGTGCTATACAAATAAAATTGAATTGAATATTGAATTTACCTTTAAGCTATAGGAGCACGTAAGCCACAGATCCAGAGAGAAAGAGTGAGCGAGAAACAAACTATTTACATATTTACAAGTTATAGGAACACCCTAATCCAAAGATCTGTAGAGATGCCAAATTGGCTATGGCACCAGACCAAATATTAACTCTCCATACTCTTATTCAAAAACAAGTATACCAAAAAAACTTAAGAAAAAATATATGCTTGTTTTGTTGAAGAAAGCTTTTAATTCTATTTGGCACAATGGTCTTTTCTATCAGTTACTCCAAAATGGGAATGGAAGCAGAGTTTATGACTTGATTAAATTTAAATGAGTGTGCTGTAAAAATTGGACAAAAAAAGAACAGAATTTTTTCAACAATGTCTTGGGGTCCATCAAGGTTGCAATATATCCCCAACACTTTTCAACACATACAATGACCAGTTACCAAAACTTCTTCAAAACTCTCAAGCCCCAGGACTTGACTTAGAAGGAAACGTATTACTACAATCACAAACATAACAAGGAATGCAAGACCATTTGAACATACTTCATGATTACTGTGAACACTGGGCAATCAGTGTAAACTTAAATTATATTACTTTTTAAAAAAGCAAGATAACAAACCAGAAAATATCTGTTTATTTTGGAAGACAACACAGAGTCATACAACAGAGTATACATACCTAGGCCTCACTGTCACTGTTTCAGGACATTTTGTAAAGGCTGAGTGCATTGGCAGATAAATAAGGAGCTTATTAGAGTATAAGAACATTCCTATTCAAATTAAACCCCCCAATAAAGATTTGTCCTAAAAATTTCCTAAAAGTTATTGAACTAATCTTTTTATATGGAAGTGAAGTTTGGGGCCCATTAATTAAACAAGAGGACTGGGACTCAAACCCAATTGAAAAAGTACAGCTAGAGTTCTGTAAAAACATACTGAGTCTATAATGTTATAAGAAGTTTGGTCTAGACCTGCTCTATTTGAAAAGTGCCCTGAGATAACTTCTGTTATGAATTGGCGCTATACAAACAAAAAATTGAATTGAATTATAGAAACTGTCCAAACTAAATCAATTTAAAAAAGAACCACTTGTTAGAATCAGATTCAGATTTACACCATGACAGAGCATACGTAGACATACATAGAGCAACAAAGCTATCCGAGCTCAGATAAAAATACATGGTATGAACAAAATGAGGAAATGATATTCATATGCCAAAGTGATGCTACAAAAATAATTCCCTACTCACAAGAAAAACAAACAAAGATAATAAGACAAAGATATTTCAAGCACTGAACAAACAGAAATCCAATTAATAAATAAACTATAATGCTATAATGTACTAGACAGAGACTTTCAATTAGCAAAATATTTAACCAAAATAAAAGATCCTATAAAAGTTAGATATAGACTCAGTGGCCACAACACTATTGAGCCACTGGGCGCCATAAAAAAGAATGGCTGAAAGAATAAAGATAATTTGCACTCATTGTGAGAAAATGAATTTCAGTTTTCAACTCCTGTTTCACAAGTTGTCTAAAATACAAAGAAAACTTCTTCCTCAAATTTAACCCAAAACATATTTTTTACCCTCAGAAAAGACCAACTAATTAAAAAAAAAAAAATTTAAGGAGGCATGCAAAGTACTAATAATACTACTAGTAATGCCTTACTGCTCAACACTGATAACCGGTCACATGGCTTCCAGATCTGGCCGACAAGTGGTCTGTAATTCATTGCTGTATTGAGAATGAACTAAGAGACTGTCAAGCACAGCTTTTAACTTTCAACCATCGTGGATAATAAGTCCTAATCATGCTCGGCATAACACATGGTTTCAACATCTACAGTTCCATGACAACAGGGCATCAGCATCTGTTAAAGAAGACCATGTCATACAGTTGTAAGCCCTAAGAAATACACTGTTTTGTCAGTTTTCATTTTCCACTGCAATGATGGGCCATTCGTTTAAAACAACAGAAATGTAAGCTCTAAAACACGGATGGAAATAACTCTAAATTAAAAGTGATTTATTTTCAAATTTCCTTGCTCTTGAGAAAGAATTCTAAAAACTAAAGTTTTTAACTTAAAGAAGACGGGTTCTTGTGGACCTACAGGCCACATTCAGAGTAAATAAATGTACTTTGTGTGTCTTTCTCATTATGTGCTCAACACGTACCTTCCCACTGTCCTGTGAGGGCCAGCGTCCGGTTGATGACGATGTCAATCTCGGTGGCGCCATCAGCCACTGCCATGCGGACTTCCTCTAGGCGGGTCTTCAGAGGTGTCTGGCCTGCTGGGAAACCAGTAGCCACTGGGAGATGATGGAGAACATACTGTCAGCAAAAGTATAAGAATTAAGGGCCGTCAACACCAAGAACAATAATGATGTGAGCATCCACACTGATGAACAATACCCCCTCTACGCACACTGCGCGCTCCAGCAGTGTCTGCAGCTTAATGGGAAAATGTATTAAGTTATTGATGAGCTGTTACTGCTGTTCATTGCAGAGAAAAACTAAAAGAAAACCAGAAGTATATGGGTTCACGAAGAGGAGTTAACACTCTCATTGCCGCTGGAACGTTCTTTACAAATATATATTTATAGTTATCGTTCTTGGTGTGGACAGCCTATTATTCATTTTCTACAGGTACACTACACACACAGCTCACCATTCAATTCACTGCTGCAGTAAAGGGTTACTAGGTGTGATTCAGTGTCAGATGACTTACCTGAGGCAACAGGAAGACTAGAATTGGCTGCTTTTAGCGATGTGACGGCATCAGCCACACGGGATGGATACACACACACTGCTGCTGTAGTAATTCCTGATACACAACACAATACAGGCAGCAGAGCAGTGAAGATAAAACAGTGATTAACTGGTCTGGGTCGCCCTCTGGAGGTTGATTTCAGGTGTGAACAGACAGTGCGACATCCTGAACAGGCTTCAGAGCTGCTGAGGGTCAAAGTTTACTGGTCACCTTCACCTGATCGTCTGACTGCTCGTATTTATTCACCTTCTATTTGTGATGTAACCATGTTCCGAGATCTCTGCCATTAACTTGGTGAGTACAATGTTATATTATGTCTTGCCTGTATTATGTCTTTAGACGAAACAATTAGTCAGGATACTTAATCTTATATTAAAAACGGTACAATTAATTCAAATAGTGTACTGCAAGACGTTTGTGTAAAAGGAGTGACTTGAATTATTCCCTGTTTTGGGAACTTTTTATATAATTCTCTGGTCTGTTTAATTTTTTTAACAATCATACATACCTTCTAGGCTTCCTCTTTGACCTTCTCCCTGGCGCTAGGCCATTGTTCAATTAGACAATTCACTTTACATTACTTTTCTTATCTTACAGACTAATGTAATGTGATTACAGTAATGGATTACTTTCTAATGCATTAAACCCAACATTTGTTGCAGTGTTAGTATAATGTGTTCAACTTTTGAGTACTCCATTCTCTCTGTAGTCTGTATTATACTTAAGAAAAAATTAAACGGACTGTGTTATTGTAGAGATTTTGTAAAGAGGAGTCTGTGAAATACTTTTTTTGGTGAAGCTGTAACACACACACAAAAAATATGGAGCTAAAATCAGTACCCCAACAGAGAGGAAAACTCAGACAGGATCTGGGGTGATGAGTAAAACAGGAAAGACCGTGGAATAAAATAAATGTTTTATATGATCAGATTATTTAGAGAGGATATCAGCCGATAACATTCGGTGGCCGATCAGAGTGCCCTTATTAAAAAGCTCCAACTTATGACTGTGCGCTTTCATGTCACAATTATCGTCACCAAAATAATTGCAATTCACAAACTGTCTCAATAATCATCAAAATCACTCATGTGAGGATACTCACAATTATCCTAATAATTCACCATAATATATCTCAATATAATCGCCTCATCCATACCAATAACAAAAAATATTTGATGTATATGTGTATATGATTTTAGAATCATCACATGTCTGGCAGCAGTAGCAGACCTTTGCTGTGCATATCAATCTTCTTGAGCAGGTCGTATCGGATAGGCTGGATGGCTTTCATACACAGCCGATGGACGTTGGACGGTGTATCGTCTCCAGCCAGAGTTGTCAGGTCAATGCATGTAACAGCCTTCAGCAGCCAAGCAGCCTGTGGGACAAATAGCACCCAACATGGGAACAAACAGTGTTGGTGTCTCCCTCTTCAGAGCTAAATCTCACTTCTGTCAAAAGATTATCAGTGTGGGGCGCCCGGATAGCTCAGTGGGTAGAGCTGGCGACCCATGTACCAAAGCTGAGTCCTTGCTGCAGCAGCCCAGGGTTCGAATTCGACCTGCGGCCCTTTGCTGCGTGTCATCCCCTCTCTCTGCCCACTTTCCTGTCTGCCTTCAGCTGTCACTATAGTAAAGGCAATAAAAGCCCAAAAAATATACTTTAAAAAAGATAAATAAATAAATTATCAGTGTGACATCTGTTTTCTTACATTATCTGTAGGTTTGGGTGATACACTGACATACTGTGAGACAATATAAAACAGTCAACCGATTTTGTCACACAGTTAATACTGTGGTATCCCCTTGATATCATTGGCTGCAGACAACTGTGGGCAATGTTTACAATTTTGAATTTGCTCGATCAACCAAAACACAGATATTCCTGTCTGATTATAAAGAGTTTCTTCATTTATTTTCCAGAAAATATCACAATATAAATCATTACTGCAATACTGCAATATAAAATGACATGTACTGTGTACTGTGAATGTTTTATACACATGACTCATTCCTAATTACTGTTGTTTTGTTACCATATTTGTAAGTTCAGATGTACAGAATAGAGAAAAATAAACATTAACATATGCATACAGGTACAGACATATACATCCATATTTATGTAATTAAAGTAGTATGGGCTCCTTGTCACTATGTCCCAGTATGTACAATGGAGGTGAAAGCAGAGCTCTACCTGCCACTGTTTCTTGGGGATCTTTTGTCCTTGGATGTGCTGAGCTCTCTTCAGGACAGCCTGTGTGTTGACTCTCACTTTCGATATCAACTCCAGGTCTGGCGGCCAGGAGCAGGAAATGTAGAAGAAAAAAAAAAAAAAATGTCAGTGGGTTTACATTGAACTATTTTTGCCTTCTAAATTTTTGTCAGGTTGTAAAAGCTTCTTAAACAGCATTTATGACAACTTAACCACTGACCTTCTTTGCAACAATGAAACTATTTTATTGTAAGCAGCTTTAACATGAACTGTCCAACATTATAGGTAATGTGGTCAGATGAGAAAAATCAATGACTTTAATCTTGGTGGATCTAACAGACACACCTCCAATGTGTTAGCCTTAACACAAAGCACTAACATGCAACGTTTAAATAAGAAAGCTTTGGAGTTGTTGAAGAGTTGGGCCCTTTAGAGTAGTGGTCAACCAATATGGGTTTAGAAGCAGGAAAAAATGGACAAACATAAGGATTTGATAACTGGGTCAGAGTATCTCCAAAACTGCAGCTCTTGTGGGATGTTCCCGGTCTGCAGTGGTCAGTACTTATCAAAAGTGGTCCAAGGAAGTAAAAGCTATGAACCGGAGACAGAGTCATGGGGTCACTGATGCACATGGGGAACGAAGACTGGCCTGTGTGGTCTGATCAAACAGGCAAGTATTTATATTTTGTATCAATAATATTAATCTGCAATGTTTTAAATGTAGTGGAGTGGAATATAAATATAAATTAAAGCTTCAAGCAGCGTTGGGCGGGACCTCGCACTCCACGCGACTCGGGGCGTGCTGTGGCCATGTCACGTGCCATCGTGTCAAGTGCGGACCACAACATGAAAATTTCACGTAAATCAGCTCAAAATCGACACACAGCACTTACTTCCTGTTGCCAGTAGGTGGCGCGATCACTATGTCTGAATATTGTCAGGTAGACGTGTTCAGGGTGGGACTGTTATCAAACACGTGAAGTTTCATTGAGATTGGATCATGTACGCTGAAGTTATGAGGACATGTTCAGGGTGGGACTGTATACTGAAGATATGAGTAATATCTGTTTGATGGCCAATCGGTGGAATTCGACATGTCGTCACGGGCACGTGGCACGTACAGTATCAAATAGCACAACTTTTGAAACCAATGTGTCTAGATTGCAGTGATCGAATTTGAAGTCAATCTGATAAAATCTGTAGGAGGAGTTAGTTAAAACAGAAGCCCTTAAATGCCGGAAATGGAATCACAGTTTGACATTCGATTAAACCTGACCAACTTTGAGGGCACGCCACGGACACGCCCTTTAACGTGCCGTCACAAATAGCACAACTTTTAATCAGCACCATTTTTTGAATGTACTGACCAATTTTGAAGCAGATCCAATAAATTTCCTAGGAGGAGTTCGTTCAAATACAACGCAAAAAAACGCTGAAAATCATTGCAAAATGCCAGAAATGGCATCACAGGATTCAACCTGGCCAACTTTGAGGGCACGCCACGGACACGCCCTTTAATGTACATGCACAAATAGCACAACTTTTAATCAGCACCATTTTTTGACTGTACTGACCAACTTTGAAGCAGATCCAAAAAATTCCCTAGGAGGAGTTCGTTCAAATACAACGCGAAAAGTTCGCCGAAAGTGAAACTTTAAATCAAAATGGCCGACTTCCTGTGGGGTTTCGGGTATGGGTCCAAGAGGCTTTTTGGTACGTCCCGGCATGTTATACGTGCCTACCGAGTTTCGTACATATCGGTGAAACGTGGAGCCGGGGCTGCTGTTTTTTTATCCTGTAGGGGGCGCTACACACATGACAAACACGATTTTTGGTATGTGAGCTTCAGGCACTACTCTACACGTGCCCTGTGAATTTCATATTCATAACTATTACGGTCTCCGCACAGTGCTTTATCATGCCAAAAGAGCGCCACCTAGTGGCGTATTTTTTTTGTCCTTTTTAAGGGAGCCATGGGGAAGCATCGTACCAAGTTTCATTTAAATCACACATACCTATGCAGAGAACCAGGAAGCAGAGTTGCTGTCTTACACACTTCTCTGCGCTTTCTTTAGAACAGTCACCCACCCAAAACCCCATAGAGACTGTGTCTGTCTCCCGACCACCTAAATTATTTAAAGAAATAAAAACAAGAGGAGTTCAACATAAAAATCTAATAAAAATTAAAACTAACTCCTCAGTAGCACAAAATAAGAGAATGAAATGTGGGCTGTTAAATATCAGGTCTCTGTCCTCTAAAGCTCTTTTAGTGAATGAATTAATATCAGACTATGATATTGATTTACTTTGTCTTACTGAGACCTGGTTGTCCCACGAGGAGTATGTTAGCCTAAATGAATCCACCCCCCCCAGTCATGTTAATACTCACATTCCTCGAGGCACTGGCCGAGGAGGTGGAGTGGCAGCCATATATGATTCGAGCATTTTAATGGACCCTAAACCTAAACTAAATTATAATTCATTTGAAAGCCTTGTTCTTAGTCTTTCTCACCCAAACTGGAAAACACTGCAGCCAGTTCTATTTGTTATAGTGTACCGCGCTCCTGGACCGTACTCTGATTTTATATCTGAATTCTCAGAGTTTCTATCAAGTTTAGTCCTTAAATCAGATAAAGTAATTATTGTAGGTGATTTTAATATTCATGTGGATGTTGACAATGACAGCCTTAGTAATGCATTTATATCATTAATAGACTCAATTGGCTTCTGTCAGAGTGTAAATAAACCAACTCATTGTTTTAATCACACTCTTGACCTTGTTTTATCATATGGCATTGATATTGAACATTTAATAGTCTTCCCACATAATCTTTTCCTATCTGACCATTATTTAATAACTTTTGAATTCATTTTGTTAGATTATAAGCCATTAGGCAAAACTTCCTACAGCAGATGTCTATCTGACAGTGCTGTAGCTAAATTTAAGGAGGAGATTCCTTCAGTGTTTAATTCAATGCTATGTCTGAATTTAACAGAATCCTATAACGACTTTAGTCCCTCTGAAATTGATAATCTTGTCGATGGTGCTACAGGCTCACTACGATCAACATTAGACTCTATCGCTCCTATAAAAAGGAAATTATTAAAACATAGGAGACTAGCACCATGGTATAACCACCAAACCCGCCACTTAAAACAAACAGCTAGGAAATCTGAAAGGAAATGGCGCTCTTCCAAATTATCAGAATATCGCTCAAATTGGCAAGATAATCTTAAAACTTATAGAAAGGCCCTCCGTAATGCCAGAGGAGCCTATTACTCAGCACTAATAGAAGAAAATAAGAATAACCCTAGGTTCCTCTTCAGCACTGTAGCCAGGCTGACAGAGAGCCACAGCTCTATTGAGCCACATATCCCCATAAACTTAAGTAGCAATGACTTCATGAGCTTCTTCTATAACAAAATTATTACTATTAGAGAGAAAATTAATCACCAACTGCTATCAACAGTTATCAGTGGCTCTCCGAGTTCAGGGACTTCTGTCAGTGTAAACTTAGATATATATTTAGACTGTTTTTCTGCTATCGATCTTCATCAGTTAACTTCAATCATTTCTTCATCGAAGCCATCAACCTGTCTATTAGACCTGATCCCAACTAGGCTGCTTAAAGAAGTTGTTCCCTTAATTGGCACTTCTTTACTGGATATGATTAATCTTTCTTTATTATCAGGATATGTACCACAGTCCTTTAAAGTAGCTGTAATTAAACCCCTTCTTAAAAAGCCCACTCTTGACCCAGGGGTTTTAGCTAACTATAGACCGATTTCTAACCTCCCCTTCCTCTCTAAGATTCTGGAGAAAGTAGTCGCCAAAGAGTTGTGTGACTACATAACAATAGTTTATTTGAGGATTTTCAGTCAGGATTTAGAGTTCATCATAGCACAGAGACAGCTCTGGTTAAAGTTAATAATGACCTTCTGATTGCTTCTGACAATGGACTTGTCTCTGTACTTGTATTATTAGATCTTAGTGCTGCATTTGACACCATTGACCATAATATTCTTTTACAGAGACTTGAGCATCAAATTGGCATTAAAGGAACCGCACTAAGCTGGTTTAAGTCATATTTATCAGATCGCTTGCAGTTTGTACATGTTAACGATGAATCTTCAATAAATACTACAGTTAGTCATGGAGTTCCACAAGGTTCTGTACTTGGACCAATACTATTTACTTTATATATGCTCCCTTTAGGCAACATTATTAGGAATCACTCCATTAACTTTCACTGTTATGCAGATGATACGCAGTTATATCTATCAATCAAGCCCGATGAAATTAATCAATTATCTAAATTACAAACATGTCTTAAGGACATAAAATCCTGGATGACCTGCAATTTTCTGATGTTAAACTCAGAAAAAAACGAAATACTTGTTCTTGGCCCCAAAAACCTTAGAGACTCACTGTCTAAAGATATAGTTACTCTAGATGGCATTAACTTGGCCTCTAGCACCACTGTCAGGAATCTTGGAGTTATCTTTGATCAGGATTTGTCATTTAACTCCCACATAACGCAGACATCTAGGACTGCCTTCTTTCATTTACGTAATATTAGAAAAATTAGACACATACTATCACAGACAGATGCAGAAAAACTAATCCATGCATTTGTTACTTCAAGGCTGGATTACTGCAACTCTTTATTATCAGGTTGCCCCAATAAGTCCATTAAAACGCTCCAATTAATTCAGAACGCTGCAGCACGAGTGCTGACAGGAGCTAGAAAAAGAGATCACATCTCTCCTGTACTAGCTTCTCTGCATTGGCTCCCTGTAAAAAGTTGAATAGAATTTAAAATCCTCCTCCTCACCTATAAAGCTCTTCATGGTCAGGCCCCTTCATATCTTAAAGAGCTCATAGTACCCTATTACCCCACTAGAACACTACGTTCTCTGAATGCTGGGCTACTTGTGGTTCCTATATTCTCTAAAAGTAGAACAGGAGCCAGAGCCTTCAGTTACCAAGCTCCTCTCCTGTGGAACCAGCTTCCAGTTGTGGTTCGGGAGGCAGACACCCTCACCACATTCAAGAGTAGGCTTAAGACATTCCTCTTTGATAAAGCTTATAGTTAGGGCTGGATCAGGTGAGTCCTGAACCATCCCTTAGTTATGCTGCTATAGGCCTAGACTATCGGGGGATTTCCCATGGTGCACTGAGCTCCTCCCTTCCTCTCTCTTTCTGCACTCATTCATGTCCCATTAATGCATGTTACTAACTTCACTTCTTCCCCGGAGTTCTTGTGCTTTCTCGTCTCGCAGGTTCTTATCGATCCTGGTGGAGCCTCCTGCCATGGTCCTGCTAGATTGCCATTGCCAATACTGTTGTTGCTGTGCGACAAACGATGTGGGAGTTATTAAGTATCAAAAAAGTCATCGCTATTTCCTTAATAGTAGCGCCACCTAGTGGCCGACCCATAAGTGATGCATAGAATATAAAATTTTTCACCAGGCCTGACAACTTTGCCAAATAAAATTGAGTTTTCGTATATGTTCAGGGGGGGAAAAACGCAATCAAAGTTCCTAAAAATAATAATAGGTAAGGAATCGAGCAAAAACAATAGGGACCTCCAGCGGTTGCTGGCACAAAAAACATTTTGTGCGAATCGGACAAAGCGTGTAGGAGGAACACGAAAAAGTAGTTGAAGGACATTTCTAGCTCTAACGGAAAAAAAATTATAGGCGGAAGTGGGCGGGGCCTATATGGGGAGATTCAGCTCCATTCACTGAACGCGTAGATACAAGGTTTATGAATGTCCGACAAACTTTGCAGAAGTTATTAGCCTAAATGCACTTTTTATGATAGTAGCGCCACCTAGTGGCCAACCCGAAAGCAATGCATAGAATATCCCCATTTTCACGTGTTCAGGGCCGGACTCTTATCGAACATGTGAAGTTTTGTTGCAGTCGGATCATGTACGCAGAAGTTATGACGAATCCCTCTTTTTATGGCGAAGGATCGAAATTGCACGACACGGGACGCCACGCCACGCCACATCCACGATGTTCGACGAAAACAACTGGGGAGCACAACCTTTAATGGTGAATGTGTTTAGATGGCTGTGTCCAAATCTTAAGTCGGTCCGATAAATGCCCTAGGAGGAGTTCGTTCAAATACAACGCGTGTAAATCACCAAAAATGGCCACAAAATCCAAAATGGCGGACTTCCTGTTGGGTTTGAGGTATGGGTCCTTGAGACTTTTCTGCTTCTTTTATCATGATACACATGCGTAGCAATTTTTGTACATGTGGGCCTTACATGTCTTGGGGGCTGATTCTGGGGGGCGTGGCTTAGCCGTTTGGCGGCGCCCGTGCACGGGGACAATGTCATATCGGTATTTTCGCTACGTTTGAATTTTATGCAAATTTTCATGACTTTTTGAGAATGCTGCGGGGGTCAAATATGCGGTCAAAGAGGCAGCAAATAATAATAGTCCTGTTAGAATTATTATTATTTGCTGCCTCTTTGTCTTGCACTTTGTCAGTGCTCGATCCCTAATAATAGGTAAGAAGAAATCGAGCAGAAACAATAGGGACCTCCAGCGGTCGCTGGCTCGGTCCCTAATAAAGTAGCATAAAATTAAAATACTCAACTAAAGTACAAGTTCCTCAAAATTGTACAGTACTTTTTAACACTCAATCAGTGATTCTTCTAAATTTTGAGGTTTAGATTTTCATATTTATTGCAAATGTATATTGGCTCCAAATATCTGTTACCGGTTAGCTGAATATTAATAATCAGTATTTGCATCAGCTCTGAATAAAACATACTGGTCGACCCTAAGGTCCTAATTCTCTCATGTGACTCCGTGCAAGTCAAACACAAACGGAGGATTTCCCCAACTTGTAATGCATTAAGCATTCAAGTAAGTCTTTGACAGACCGGCTTGTTTATATGGAAAGGTGTAAGAGAATGATGATGGTGTAGCTGAGTCATTACTAACGTTCAACTGCTTTTTAAGAGTGAAATTCAAAAACTTTCATGCTGTTCATGTCAGGGCTGATTTACTGGACTATAACTGAGCGGAGGCAGAGAAGGGTAGAACTAGTCAGGTGAGCAGGGAGAGATAGGCTGTCATGAGTTCTCAATTACACAGCCACTGTCTGACTGTAGTACAGCAGCCATGTCACAAAATATTTAACACTGTGTTGTCCCTAAGTTAGTAGGATCTGCATCAATATATTAATTATGGATTTATTAATTATTCTTCACTTTAGTTGCTACATTCACACTGCAAACCATCGCGTTCAATTCTGATTTATTGCTCCGATCAGATTTTCCATGTGACGTGTGCTGTTCAAAAATCAGATCCCGAGAGAAAATAAATTTAGGTCACTTTTTCCTGCAGAGTGAAAGTAGCCATAGTGTTTTTCTTCGCCCATAGACCGGACTGCTGGCCGTTACAGTGAGTTACACGGTAACATGTCGGTGCTCAGCAGGTCAGTTACCTCTACCACTAAACTGTTACTTATTAAGCTGTCAGGAGCTGAGGCTAACGCTACGCTAGCTTTTCCTGTATTTAACATGTATTTGTTATTAAACGGTGAAAGGTGAATTTACGTGCACGGCTATAATTAATAAACGTTACAAGTTACGTAAAGGCTGGTAAAGTGAAAGTTGTAACGGGAGATGAGCACACGTGTTTCGAAGGAACTGACATTAACGGGGGTCGGTTTTAGTTTGAGCTTTCAGCTACTCACCGAGCTTCGTCCCAGGGTTCCTGGCCGACATGTTGAAGGCTTTGATGAGCAGATATTCAAATTCCACTGCGAGCCGAACTGACCTGTCCAAACTCCACTTCCGGGCTACGGCTGTGGAAAACAGTCACTACTTAACTGCTCCAGTTTCCGGTGCTCTTCAGCATAGAATGATTACTACTTCCGGGATAGCTTCCGTTGTATAGAGGATAATTTTGGTCATTAATAAATAAAACCAAAATTATTCAAATTAAGAAGGCAGCATTAAAAAAGATTATTATTTTTACTACACGGTTGAGAATAATCGGGCCACAATTAAAACTTAAAATGAGAATTGAAAAATCGAATTTAAAATGTAAAATGATCATTTTAAAATGTAAAGTGGCAGTGAAAAAATAGACATTTAAAACGTAAACTCTTAAATAATCAAACTGAAAGCTTAAACCGTATGGAAATGAACCGTCATCATACCGTTTTAGAAATAAGACCACATCCTGATATCTGTGAGGAACTGTTACTCACCTTACTAAGAGTCATTAGGTAATAAATTGCATGCTGATTAGCAGAACGGGGCAGGATCTGCTTAAAGAGAGTGGTGTAGAGGTGTCTTGGCAGGTGGTATACTGTAGCTTCAAACTAGGGCTGTGTTTCTCAGCCTCTTTGTGAACTCAGTTATGAATTGAAAGTTCCTTGTTGATGCTTTAAGGAAACTAAAATCACATTAAGGTTAAAGAAATAATGTGGTCATGGTAATTAGCCAACACTATAAATATCCAGTTAATTTCCATTTCCAGTCTGAGGTGATGTCAATTAATGAACTAATTGAAGAAAATCTGGAGTGGCATTTTGTGACAGTGGCAGTTTTGAGAACTAGTAGCGCTTTGGAGACCCTATTTTGTTGTGTGCATACATTTGGATGCTCATCTTGACATGCATATAGGTGACATGATACATTTTCCTGCCAATGGTTTCACATGAGTCCACTCATCAACAAGTGGCAGTAATGTGTCAAAAAATGTAGCCAAGGAAGGCAGTGAAGAGGATGACTCCAAGCAAACTAATGATGTGAACAATGCAGGCCTCGAAGTTTGTTAATGTACAAGGCAGAAAATCCCCAAATATTGCACATTAAATGCAAAATGGCTTGCTTTCTGTTGGGTATAGGATAAGGCTCTTTCTTGCTCTCTATTCAGGTGATTATACACTAATGGAAACATAGCTATGAATATTATATTCCATTTCTGCCAATAAATCATCCTAAATATTACACACCGGACCTTGAAATTCCATCTGATCTCACTGTCAAAAACTGTTTAAAAAAACATGAACCAGTAGTTTTGGAGCAACTAAAGGTAAGATCATTGCAGGTAAGCAGAGTTTATTACATAATCCACCAGACAAAGGACAATTATTGTTTGTACTTGTTGTTGTACTTCAGTCAACTTAGATAATGGGTAAGTAGGTAGTACAATGACAATTAAATACTATGTGATTAACATTTACATAGAAGATTAAGGCAAATTTTTAAGAGCGCTCAATCTGATGCACCCTCTACACCAACAAGGATCATTGTTACTGTCCAGGCCAGGAGGCTCTAAGGTTGAGCAGGATCAACACATCACAGGGTGCCAAGCAATAAACCCCCAACTCATGCAATGCAGACTCTGGTGGAGGATCCTCCGCGCCTGCCCAATCTCTCATCTCCTCCTCTGACTCTTTAAGGAGATTCCTCAGCAGAATAGCAGAGCCCACATTAAGACACAAGATGATACACGCCTCCTTGACACTGTGAAGAGATAGAGAAAATCTAATTACAATGCCGGCAGAATAAAGGTTTTCCTTTGTGAAGAGGTATGCTTAGTCTTTTACTGTAAAGCAAATTTACCTATGGGTAAAAATAAAGTTACCTGATTCAAAGAACACTAAATATGTTTGGCTGACAAAGGACGTCCCGGAGGGGCTGTGAGCAAAGCTGCTGCTAACGTTAGCTCAGCTTGTTTCTCTGATAACTTAAGATCCAGACATCTGAACATAGGTCTAGTGTTTCTAGACATTTTAATGAGGAAATGACATATTATAGCTTTAATGTGAAGATCCACATGTGCAGACTATGTGCATTATGATGACTGTCTCTTTCTCGCTCGCTCGCTCACTCACACACACACACCTACACACCCACACACACATACACACACACACACACACCCCCACACACACCCCCACACACACCCCCCCACACACACACACACACACACCCCCACACACACCCCCACACACACCCCCACACACACCCCCCCCACACACACACACACACACACACACACACACACACACACACACACACACACACACACACACACACACACACACACACACTTACTGCTTAAAGAAGTTCTCAGGTCTTTTGCAGTAGTGCCCAAACAGAGGAAATAGGTTTCTGGTCATGTCGAACTGAAGCTGAGCTGCCCCACCATCACTGAAATGATTAGACAGGATCACCTGACAGAGAGACACATGGAGATGCTGGAGATTTATTTTAAATGTTTGGTTAAGAATCCACACAGTCCAGCTGTTTAGGTTTTTTCCTTACCTGCCCCTGTTTTACGTACATTGGTGACTTATTTATGGACTTAAACTAATAGTATGTCATTTCTGCTGCATCAAAGCGATGCTTCAGGACGCTGTGAAGCATGGGATCATGGGAGTTGTTTTCATTGTTAAACAACTACCATTTTGGATGAAAATCTATCTGAGAAATCATGCTCACGGACAAGGTGATATATTCAAGTTATGTGTTACATTTAGTCCACAAATCTGGTTTAATTTTTTTTTTGCTGGGGATACAACGGGCAAACCTTCAGTCTTGGTGACAAGTTGGTGACAGGTTTAGGATTTTTAAATAACTGGAAAGATGCAGGCTCCCCCTTGTCCCCTTGTTCAAAATAAATTAAGAAATCAATAAAGGACTCTATGTTGGTGAGCTAGACAGCTTTTTCAAGTCAAACCATGTGAGGATATTCACAATAATCCCAATAATAGAAATTCACAATGATAAATTGAGGGCTTTTTATCACAAAACACAAGAATATCATATATCATATATCCATCCCTAACTAACATCATTACACTGAAATTGCATCTTCATCATCTACTTCATCTTACTGGGGCCTCTAAAATGTAGGAACCATAATCGAGATTTAAAATTCTGCGTCTTTCCTTGCTGCTGAGTTACCATTTATGTGCCACTGTAGAATGTCTGAGTTATCTGAACCCCAAAACAGCCTGGCAGTATGTATGTACTTTGAGGTTTGTTTTCAATATTCTCTGGCACACAAATAGTACGGTGGGATTGTAGTGCTTATCAGCATCTTACATCCTGGTAGAGAAAGTTGTCAAGTCTCTCCGCCAGGCCCTGCCAGGCAAGTTGGAATAGAGAGAGACTCAGGACCTGATGAAGGTTCAACAGTCTGTCCCTCACACAGAGCATCATGGGACATGCTGAACTGGACAGGGTCATGGTGGACTGGTCATGCTGGGATGGTAGGGACAACCACCTAAAGAAAAGTAAAAGAGACATAAAAGATTAAAAGCAAGACAGTGAATAAATCAGTGCTAACATTTACTCGTTGACCACCCTGATGATCAGTGCAATTAGTAGCACAAAAACTGTGGGAAGAGATTCTGGGCAATAAAATAGTCATAGGCGATGATTTTCGTTCATAACAATTTTAAAACTCCTTTACCTCTTAAAGAATTCTGAAATTCTTAATTTGAGTCAAATGGTCACAAAGCTAACCAAAGCTATGATTAGGGCAAGGAAACTTTATTCATATAGCACATCGCAAACACAGAGGCAATTGTGCTTTACATAAACAGAAAATAAGAATGACATTCAAAAAGAATCACATCAGATAGATTTTCATCTGCAATGGTGGTTGTTTAAAAGGTCCAGTGTGTAACATTTAGGAGGATCTATTGTCAGGAATTGAATATAAATATTCATAGTTAAGTCATTAGTGTATAATCACCTGAATATAAAAATATTTTATAAATAGTTTCTTAGAATGATCTCCTACAGACACCGTAGGTCGGCCACATTGAATCGCCATGTTCCTACAGTAGCCCAGAACGGACAAACCAAACACTGACTGTAGTTTCTGCAGTTACACGGCCATCGTAGTTTCTCCTACACACTTCACAGCCCGTTCTCATTCCACAGTTGTCAAATACAGACATGAAGTGTGTTCAGTTAGTGGCAATCTGCAACTTCACTGCTAGATGCCACCAAATCCTACACACTGGTCTTTTAAATGGATTTTGCTGGCAGTGATAAGGAAGCAGGGACATAAGTGGAGAGGAAGGCATACCTGACATTGATTATCTAAATAGGGGTAATAAAACTGTCAGATTATGTATGATGGCAGCATAGTTAAATATGTGGTTATATGTCGTTTACCTAACAAGTATTAAGAAAATGAAATTTTGTATAATATTCAAGAAATGAGTGGTGCAGGCTGTTTTGACAAGAATTAGTTAGCATCATTTGATAGTGACCATACATTTCTGCTCTGTGAACCATATGTCCCATATTTCTAAACCCAAAAAGAAGATATTTTATTTTAGATTATTTGGTTTCATGATGGCACTCCTTAGTTTTGCATTTATTAATTGGAATATATCCAACTGAAGTCTCCTTACAGTAAAGCTCAACAACTGGTGCATATTATGTGGACAAGATAGTCATGACATATAATTTTCATATTGTCCCATGTCTAAGCTTGGATGGTTCACGCTAATACACCGTTCCACCCTTCAACCGAGTAGGAGTCACTAACAGAGATGATGAATCCTCACCAGCTTCCAACCTGCAAATACTTAAAAACGTTGAACGTTGTAAGAGCGTTGGCAGAACCAAGCCAGGGGTACCACTCCTGGAATCAAACCCACTGTCTCTGCAGTGGTGGACAACAACTTTACTGTACAATCCTAGGAGCACTTTTTATTCAAAACTTAATAATAACATTTTAATAAAAACAAATATATGTTACTGTTAATGTAAATTTAAGGCTACACTGTCCTTACCAGACCCACTGCAACTGAATATGGTTGGGATTTTCTCTGTTAACATCACTAGGATAGAGTTGTATTGTAGAGTTGTTGAGTATCTGTGTTCATCAACAGGCTGATGTCTCACCTGTCTTGGCAGTATGGTCTGGCTTTTTCTGTGATTTCCCTAATGGTCCATTCCAAAAGTCTTCCCATCATGTCTCCTTTAAGTCGATCCAGCAATGCCAGCAGACCTTCAAATAGAGAGCCCTCCAGAGAAGCCAGGCGACCCACCTCCATAATCCCCAGACCTCCCAGTAATCCTTCCTCACCAAGTGAAACCGCTGCTTGCTGCAGCTGCAGGAAGAACTGGAGACATAAAAACAATGGTCAGCGAGACGGTGAAAGACATACATTTTTGTGATGGTACAGAGTGCAAAGCATAGTTATTTTCCCGTACCGATTAAAATGTATGTGTGATCACAACTGTCAAGTACTGAAGGCTGACATTATATCCTGGCTTAGATTCCCACCATTTTATTTAAGTTCTGCAGTGGCTTGTGTTTAGAGGTTTAACATTATATTTGTTTATGTATTATTTATTGAATGAAAACTAAATATTTGTAGAATAACATGTTTATATTATTCAAAATAGGAATCGAGAAAAGTTTCATTTTGGAGATCTCATGTGAATCCATCTTGCCAGGCTTCACTCCTTACCCAGATTGGTTTGTATTTATGATGACCAAGCTTCTGGGGAAAAAAATTGTGTGAAATTTCTTTCCTGATGGCATAACTTAATCAAAATGTACTTAATCTACTATACTACTACTACTTTTGGTTAGTATTTATATAATCGTGAAGAAATTAGTGTAGCAGGCTGTTTTGAGAAGAATTACTCACTGTTTGACAACGTTTGATAGTGACCATTTGAGATTTGGGTTGGCCTGTATATTATAAAATGGAGAGCCCCAGGTCAGGTCTGACTTCATGAAGACAAGCGAATCTCAGTGAAACTAGCTTTCATATGAAAAAAGAAGGGGGCTGTGTGCTTGTGTTTTGAGAACTGTCCAGCCATGACAACATCCTGCTGGTTCTGCAACAAAAATTAATAAATAAAATAATGACATTTGACCAACGCCACACACCACATTGTCCCCCCAGTCTCCCAGGATGGTGCAGATGTAGTTGACAGCATTAAGGATGGCACAATAACGGGCACCCAGGGGGCAGCGAGACTCCTCCTTCATCACCTGGGAAGGAAAAAAACTACATCAACCCCCTCCGCCTCATTCATTTATCTCTCACCCTTTATCTCCATATTAAAACTGATTTCTGTCTGTAAATAATTACACAAACAATTTTGACAAAACAATGAAAAAGCAAGTACACTCACTGGCCAAAACTCCACAACAGAAAACAACAAAACAACATGACACAATATAAAAGAAAAATTGTGTAATCTGAAGCTTGTTACACCAACCATTCTTACAATATACAACCTAATTTAGGTTAAATTACCAGCAGACTAAAGTTTCTTATATTCCTATCCCACTTTTTACCAAGTGAAAAGCATTAATGAGAGGTCCACTGTGAAGACAGTTAACTGCATTATGTATTTCAGGTGAAATGTCCAGTCCATTTCCTCAATGTTTTCCTCATAATCATTAGTGCCTCTCGCCTTCTTTACCAGTGAAAAGCTCACTGTCCTTCTTTCATTAAAGAAGTGTTTTTCCTTCATTAATACCAGAGTGTCTTTGTCTTTATTACCTGGGTGAGCCGTATACGGAAGTCATCCACCAGTTCTCTCTGTAGCCCCAGAAACTTCAGTTGTGCAGAAGGACAGGGCAAAGTCCGGTACCGTTCTGAGGACAGAAGGATGACAAAAACACAAATGTTTTATGTGCTCTAACAGCATACATTACTACAATGTACCCTGTGCAGTTTCTGACCACTGTAGAGTAACACTTTATGAGTAGGTCCCGGATGTTTTGTATCTTATGCACACAAGGACCATCAACTCTACCATCAACATTTGGTGGTGGTAATGCACTAAGAAACACAGCAACATGCCAGTAAATATATACACACAACTCATGCATGTAGTCAGTAGCATTAAAAACTAGTGTTACAGCCATAATCACATAATCACAGTTGAGGGAGCAGCTAGTGACAACAAAGTGTAGAAAGCCAGCTTAACTACCTAGCAGTAGTTATCTTAAGATTAGCTGCAATGATACAAAAAAATATTCTCATCGTGACTAGGGCTGCAACGATTCTTCGAGTACCTCGACTAACTCGATTACAAAAAATTATCGAGGAATTTCCTCTGCCTCGAAGCCTCGTTTAATGAAATTCAAAACTCACGTTTCGCACGAATTCTTTTTAGTGTGACACAATGTGCAACGGCGTTATTTTTTCAGTAACGGGGTAATCTAATTAAGTACTTTTCCCATCGTTGCAACGCCGTTACCGTTACTGAGAATGTAAAGTGGCGCGTTACTTGCGTTCCTACAATGTGGTGAATGAAGCGCAGCGGTGTCAGGCTTTCTGTCAATGGAGGACTGAAAGTGCCACAATTAAATAAATAAATACACCATTAAATAATTACTTAAATGTGTCATTAATTAATTAAAATTGGAATGAAATACATAAATGTGATATTAAATGTGTCATTAATTAATTCAAATACCGATTCATTTAATGTAAAATACATATATAATTAAAGCTGCAAGCAGCGTTGAGCGGGACCTCGCACTCCATGCAACTTGGGATTTGAGATTGGACCACGTACGCTGAAGTTATGAGGACGTGTTCAGGGCGAGACTGTTACAGAATATATGAAGTTCACTGGAGATTGGACATTGCACACTGAAGTTATGAGTGGCATTTCATGGCGAATCCGCTGAATTTGACAGGTCGTCACTGGCACGGTCATTTCACGTAACGCAGCACAAAATCGCCATGCAGCGCTTACCACCTGTTGCCAGAAGGTGGCGCTATCACTATGTCTGAATATTGTCATGTAGACAAGTTCAGGGTGGGACTGTTGTCAAACACGTGAAGTTTCATTGAGATTGGATCATGTACGCTGAAGTTATGAGGACGTGTTCAGGGTGGGACTGTACACTGAAGTTGAGTACTATCTGTTTATGGTGAATGGTCGAAATTCAACGCAACGCCACGGGTACGCCGTTTGACGGAATGTCGCAAATAGCACAACTTTTAATCATGAATGTCTTTAGATTGCGCTGATTAAATTGGAAGTTGATCCGATAAATTCCCTAGGAGGAGTTCGTTCAAATACAAGGCAAAAAATCACAGAAAATGAGCACGGAATGCAAAATGGCTGACTTTGATGCCAAGCCACGGACACGCCGTTTGACGGAATGTCGTAATTAGCACAACTTTTATTAATGAATGACTTTAGATTGTGCTGATTAAATTTGAAGTAGATCCGATAAATTCCCTAGGAGGAGTTCGTTCAAATACAACGCGAAAAATCACAGAAAATGACCAAAAAAATCGAAATGGCTGACTTTGATGCCACGCCACGGACACGCCCTTCAACGTACATGCACAAATAGCACAACTTTTAATCAGGACCATTTTTTGAGTGTACTCACAAATTTTGAAGCATATCCGATAAATTCCCTAGGAGGAGTTCGTTCAAATAAAACGCGAAAAGTTCACCGAAAGTGAAACTTTAAATCAAAATGGCCGACTTCCTGTGGGGTTTCGGGTATGGGTCCAAGAGGCTTTTTTGTACGTCCTGGCATGTTACACGTGCCTACCGAGTTTCATACATATCGGTGAAATGTGGCACTGGGGCTGCTGTTTTTTTATCCTGTAGGGGGCGCTACGCACACGACAAACACGATTTTTGGTATGTGAGCTTCCGGCACTACTCTACACGTGCCCTGTGAATTTCATATTCATAACTATTACGGTCTCCGCACAGTGATTTATCCTGCCACCAGAGCGCCACCCAGTGGCCTGATTTTTTTTCCTTTTTTGGTGAGCCTCAGGGAGCCATGGGCAAGCATCCTACCAAGTTTCATTTTAATCACACGTGCCGTTGCAGAGATATAAACTTCTTCATTTTAAAGAGCGCCACCTAGTGGTAATGGTCTGAAATTGTGCACGGTGCCTAAGGAGGACATGTGGAACTCACACTCACCCAAGTTTGGTGTCAATCGAACATACCAATGTTAAGAAATGGTCCTCTTCCTTTTTTGACGAAAAATCCACAGGAAGTGCTAATTTTATAGCGTGCTTATTGTTAAAATTACTTTTTTTGCCAGGGCGGTCCCCAGGTGCTAGGTGAAAAAATTTGTGTTAATCGGACAAAGCGTGTCGGAGGAACACGAAAAAGTAGTTTAAGGACATTTCGCGCTCTAAAAAAAAAAAAATTCTAGGCGGAAGTGGGCGGGGCCTATATGGAGGGATTCAGCTCCATTCACCGAACGCGTGGATACCAGTTTTTTGAATGTGCGACAAACTATGCAGAAGTTATTAGCCTAAACGCATTTTTTATGATAGTAGCGCCACCTACTGGCCAACCCGAAAGCGACGCATAGAATATAAAATTTTTCACCAGGCCTGACCACTTTGCCAAATAAAATTGACTTTTCGTATATGTTCAGGGGGGCAAAAACGCAATCAAAAGTGCTAAAAATAATAATAAGTAAGAAGAAACATAGCAAAAACAATAGGGACCTCCAGCGGTCGCTTGCGAGGTCCCTAATTATTTCACTATTTACATTTACATTTCATGTTCCTGCGTTGCAGTGCTTCATGAATTACTTAAAACTGTCAAAGCCAGCCATCAAAGTCAGAGGGTGGGGCTAACGCGAATCTAGCCTGATCCATTGCTTTGGTCTGAAGTAGAGTGCCTGGAAGATCTCCATGAACTTTCTAGGGCAGAGGTCGCTAACAGGCGAGTCTGGACCCAGACACCGTCCTATGCGGACCCAGACCTATAATCAGTTCATTATTGAGGATTCTAAATTTGGATGGGGAGCTTCTATTTTAACCAGCACAGCTTTTTTAGTCTTTACGGTATTTGTTTAGCAGATCAGGAAGCTCACAGACCAATCGCATGCTAGTTAAGCCATCCCACGTGATGCTGCTCAGCCAATCAAATCTGTTTAAACAGCGCGATGAGCGCGATGAGAGAGGAGAGACAGACGGAAAGAGAAGTCACAGATACATGGAGAGGAAACGGAGAGATGAGTGAGCGCGAGACAACAGAAGATTTATGGCGCTCTCTAAGAAGAGAAAAGTGGATAGAAAATCGAGCTTTTAATGGACAGATTCATTCACATTCATTCTTCCCACTGGGAGCACATAACCAGTGTGTCTCATGTTCAGAGACTGCGGCGCTGATTAAAAGTGCCAGTGTGAAACGCCACTATGAGACAAAACACAAAGTTTTCATCAAACATACCCACTCAAGTCTGAACAAGGTCACAGAAAATAAGCAGGCTCAGATCCCAATATGATCAGTCAACCAGTATCCTGACCAGTGTTGGGAGTAACGGTGTTTAAGTATAACAGCGTTACTAACGGAGTAATCTAATTAAGTACTTTTCCCATCGTTGTAACGCCGTTACCGTTACTGAGAATGTAAAGTGGCGCGTTACTTGCGTTCCTACAATGTGGTGAATGAAGCGCAGTGGTGTCAGGCTTTCTGACAGCCACACATCAGCTGCCGGGAGAGGGCAGGGTGGTGATGATGATTGGCTGGGTGGGTGGATGCCAAGACAGAGACAATGGCGACGAGCAAGGGAAATTCAAAGGTAGCGATATCAAACTGGAAGTACCGACACTACTACTCGCTTACTGAAGTTAAATGCAAGAATGTTTATGTAACGTGTGAATTTTATTTTCAATATTTATTTTGTATATATTTTTATTTCTATGCATATGGCCGGCTGCAATCTATTGAGTTCAAATAAAAACCAAATGTTCTAAAATACTGTATATAGTGTTTTATTCTTTATTCAGTGATTATAAACATCTTTAACGTAATAGAAGATGTTATAGAATGTAATTATAGACCATAAAAAATAACATCACAGTTACTTTGCTGAATAACTAATTACTTTTACAATGTGGTAACTGAGTTACTCACTTTTTTAAAGTAAGATGACCAACACTGATCCTGACCCATTCATTCACTGCCCAACGAGGGAGAGAGGTTAGAGCTCAATTCTCTCACTGAACAACAGAAAGTGTATAGAAAGATATAAAAGGGAAAGAAAGAGAAACTGTTCAATTGTAAAGATGTGTTGATATTCATTCATAAAATTTGTTGAGACTGTTAATCAAGATATGAAACAGTTAACAAAGAAAAAGGGAAACTCAAGCTGATGCTACACTTTATTTTTCAAAGTTAAACACTTTATTTTATTTTTTAGACTTAACAGAGGATGTGGAAGCAGGAGCTGCTGACCCAGAGCATGTAGCGAGTAAAGCAGAGGAACTTATTGAAGTTCTTGGAGTTATTTCAGCACTTTCTGACCAAGATATTGACCACAGAGTGACTGCAGATTTAGAAGAAGTAGTCCAATAGCGCCGCCCAGTGTATTGGAATGTGTTCACTAGCTCTGCATCGATCCATTATCTGGAATTGATTTGTCTTGGCTTGATGCGCAGGGTAACCAATCAGGCGTTAGGTTCCGCCTACCAACTTTTGATGGGTGAGTTTGACAGTTTTAAGTAATTCATGAAGCACTGCAAGGAAGGACCATGAAATGTAAATGTAAATAGTGAAATAATTATATATTTATTTTACATTAAATGAATCGGTATTTGAATTAATTAATGACACATTTAATATCATATTTATGTATTTAATTCCAATTTTAATTAATTAATGATACATTTAAGTAATTATTTAATGGTGTATTTATTTATTTAATTGTGGCACTTTCAGTCCTCCATATCTGTCAGCCACACATCTGCTGCCGGGAGAGGGCAGGGTGGTGATAATGAAACCGTTGCAAATGCGATGATGATCGGCTGGGTGGGCGGATGCCCTGCTCACGCTGTCTCACTGTACGCTCTAACTACTATAAACACAAGACAGAGACAATGGCGACGAGCTAGGGAAATTCAAAGGTAGCGATATCAAACTGGAAGTACCAACACTACTTCTCGCTTACTGAAGTTAAAGGCAAGAATGTTTATGTAACATGCACTATGCCCAGGAAGAAAGACTTTACCCACGTCTGCCTCAAGCAACTCAAATCTTATGAAGCACCTCACAGCAACCCAACCTCAAGCCCAGATGCAGCTAGTGTGAGCTCCAGTGAAGGAGACGGATCCACTCCGTTAAAACAAGCAAAGCTTGATTTTTCGGATCAGTAACAGGTGGCGACTAGGGCCGACCTGAACACATTGATTGCAAGGTATGTTGTTGAAAACATGCTACCCCTGTCCATTATTTCTATGCATATGGCCGGCTGCAATCTGTTGAGTTCAAATAAATACCAAATGTTCTGAAATACTGTATATAGTGTTTTTATTCTTCATTCAGTTATTATAAACATATTTTACGTTATAGAAGATGTTATAGAATGTAATAGCGTTATAGGACAAAGAATAACGTCAGTTACTTTGCTGAGTAACTAATTACTTTTACAATGTGGTAACTGGAAGAGACAGAAGATGTCGAAGGTGTGGGATCATTTTAAATTAAAATTAAGGACAACATCGTGGTGTGTGTACATTTGGACAACATTTTTATTTTATTTTTGATACTTAGAAAAAATAAGTGGGAAACAATTTTGTTGATTTTATTTAATTTTATGTCTCAGGAAATGAAGTGAATTTGAATGAAGTAATTTTATTTATTTATATTGGAAAACGATTTACTACTTTACATAATATGTATAATAATAAATAAATGTAAATTTTTCTTAAATGGGAAACAAACTGTTTTTATTATTAAGTGATCTGTCTTGTTTTCTATTGTATATTTAAAATTGGGCTTTAATTAAGCAAAAGTATGTTTTATCCAATTACTCGATTAATCGATGGAATATTCGATAGAATACTCGATTACCAAAATATTCGATAGCTGCAGCCCTAATCATGACCTGCTCGGTACAGTTCACCTGAATGTTGTAATTTACTTTTTAAACAATAGAAAAACACATATTCTGTTTTACATGAATATGTTTAATGTTTTTTCCAACAAACTAGTATACTGACAATAACTTAAAAAAGATCAGAATCGCTGAAATGAATAGCCTTACCAGTGATGACCTGTAGCAGAGTCATGAAAGTCTCAGCACAATCTGGAGCCTTCAGCTCATCCATATCACTGATATCTTTGTATTGAGAGCTCCAGGCTCCCTCGGCTGACAGCATGGCGTCCATCTTCTCTACTGCCACTGTAGATACAGAGAAATATAAGATTATTCTTGACAATACAGGACTCACACTCACAAACAGTCAAACAATTTAATGGCAGGTCTATTATTGACATATTTAACTCAAGCTTTATTCCTCCTTTTTTAATGATGCAGGGCTCATGATGAAGTGTCTCAGGTACCTTACAGGTGGGTGGTCAGCATTTACTGGACACTCCAGGTAAGCACACTTTCATGAAGCGTTTGACTGTTCTCACCTCAGCCATCTTTTTTCCATTGCAGTCCCAGCAGAGTGGTCTCCAGCAAATTGAATACACTTTACTAAAGCTCACCGTAACATTAATTTGGCTACAGCCCATAAGTAACAGTTTCAAAATCAAATATATTTTAGTTTACAGAAAATTAATCTTCTACAAAGTTAAAGTGTTTGTTGCACATGCCATTAAGATGGCTGTGTATGTATTTATCAGTCACAAATGTAAATTGAATCATTAATAGGCTGTATTCATGTAGATATGGGTGGCTACAGTATTTGCACTGGGCTTCCTTGAGGATTCAAACAAACATTCCTGAACAAAAGACCTATAGTGAGTTTTTGTGTATCTGAATCAGGGGCTTAAGGACATTAAAAAATTTCCAGGACAACATAGATTATTTCCAGGATATCTGATAATTTTAATAAAATTCCATGACTGGAAAACTAGTCTCTAAATTTCCAGGTTTTCGAGGATGCTTGGGAACCCTGTTTGTAGCATGTTTGTATGGGATTGTGTGATCTCAATAAAACTTTATTCGTGTGCCATTGTTGGGAGGCTAATCTTTATTTTCTGATAAATTTTGAGTTTTGTGTATATTCAATTCAATTTTATTTTATTTGTATAGCGTCAATTCATAACATAAGTTATCTCAGGACACTTTTCAAATAGAGTAGGTCTAGACCGTAATCCTTATAAAATTATTTACAGAGACTCAACGGTTTCCACCATGAGCAAGCCCTCTACAGTTTAACTGCTTAGCTTGTTTATTGATATGTCAGAATGATAATGATTTACCTGAAAATGTATTGAAATACATACATTTCTTACAAAATGAATACACTGAAATACATTGTTGATGACAATGATGCAGCACAGTGTATCATATCATATCAGCTATTCCTAATTAACGTTATCTCTGTGACTGATTTAATAACAGGCCAAAAGGTGCTCTCTGCAAGCAGGTGTCAGTACTGAGCCAAATATTTTTGCTAGGAAATTAAATAACCTCCACTCTGGCCCTTTTTCCACCAAATTAGTTATGGTTCTCGAAGTGGTTCCGTTCCAAGATTCTTGGAACTATGGTGTTTTCTAGCAAACCAGCCACCAGTTTCCACCAGTTTTGAGTGGACCCATTGTAATCGACTGCTTAATAAACAGAGAGCATTGCACAATGCACAACAACCTGTAGAATATGACACACCCACTTTGGTTCCCAAAGAAAAACTGCAATGTTTTGGTTCCAGCTGGCAACCACCTTTAGAGGTTTCAAACAAATTTATTTTTGGACAAAATTCTTTGAACAGTTCAAAAGTAGGTGCTTGAACAGAGCCGGTTCCCTTTTGCTGGAAAAGGCCTATCTGTAGCAACACTGTAGTGTTTTTGTATTCTTCTGTTTTTATTTTCATATCAATAATTTAAGCTTTATAGTTCTGAAGCAGAGTTTGTATGCCATAATGCAAGTATATAATACAACTAAATTAAATTCTATCATACTTGACAACTTACTCTTCTTTTCCACAGTGAGCCACTTCTGAAGGATTGCATCCTCAAGGAGTAGGTGAAGCAGACCAGGCAGCACTGCTGGATACAACTGGTTGCTTCGCAGCTCCTTCTCAAACTGTAGCACCTCCTCCACCAAGTGACAAAAGATCATATCATCGTACAGCAGCCTAGAAGCATCACTGGCCACCTTCTCCTGAACCAGAGACAACAGGCCTCGACACAGCTCCACCTACACACACATACAACAGTTACTGTACCCAGCTGACAGACAGCAATGTATTAATTAAGTCCTTGATGGCTTCACACAATTTCTAATCAAATTACATTTATTTTCATAGTGACACCTGATATTTTTTACATTTCAATAAAATGAAAAGAGGACTGTCAGTGGAAAGAAAATGCTGCTCATAACTGACATGGCCACCAATCAGCCTTTCCTCAGATGGTCAATAAAGCTAAAGAGTTTTCATAAAGCTAGAGAAACATCTTACATAGGACGTTTAAGAAACTAAGGTGCCAGTAAAACATGCGGAAAAAACGAGACAGGCTCCATCTAGAGCCAGTGTTTGGTTTGAACATTCTGAATTACTGTAGAAACATGGCGGTTCAACATGGCAGACTCTGTGGATGAGGACCCACTCCCTCTGTAGATACAAACTGCTAATTCTATAGTAATGAAAACACGATTCTTATTTTCAGGTGATTATACACTAATGAAAACATACCTATGAATATTATATTCCATTTCTGATAACAGATCATCCTAAATGTTACATACAGGACCTTTAAGTTATTCTATATTTCTTTTCAGTGCGTAGGATATTGGTCTCGATAAAATCAGACTGAATAAAATAGCTATTTGGACTACACTTAACCAGAGGGGCTCAAAGCAGTTGAGTAGAGCCTATTATGTAACAGCATACCCTGGCACTGATGGTGGCCCCAGCTCGCTCCAGGATGGGTTGGATCTTTTCCTCCATGAAGGTCGAACTGTTACCCATCCACATCAGAACTTGAGTGAGGTACCACTCTGGCTGAAAAATACACAGACAGAGATGGAGGTTTTTAAGCTTTGCCAAAGGCTGATGAAATGGACGAATTTTCTACTTATCCTCCGTGGGGACAACTACTGTTTACATATGCACTGTGTTTTCTGTATGGCTAAAAGAAAATAAATTGTGTTAAGATGTTTAAATAACGGAATGTAATGCATGAATGATATGTATTGATGCATTATTATGGCATACTCAAAAATTCTAAGTAATTAGCTACATAGTATTTGAATTTAGTTCATCAACAATTTAATGTGTTTATGTGTCTAACTTGACTTGGATTACACCCATAGACTGAAGTTGGTCCATTTGTTTTCGGTGGTGTGTATAAACTTGAGAGAGCAAGTCTGACATTGGTGTATGTGTGACGTGTGTGTTTAAGAGACCTTGCCAAGGGAGTTGGTCTGTCGATTCCCATAGAAGTGGTATCTGAACCTCTTGCTGAGTGGCTGCAGCATGATCTGGATTGGAAGACACAGGGGAGGAGCTTGGGACGGAGGTGTGGCTGAAGAAGCAGGCTGGACAGAAGGCACACTAGAAGCCAAAGCCCTCTGGGATAAGAGGTTATCACTGCCAGGAGAAGTTAAAGAAAGCAAACACTGGAGCACCTGCAGCGTTCCAAACACACAGCATCGTCAGTTCCAATCTTTAGGGACCTGCTTCTTGACATTACCCTGTCATTTTTTGTTCACAAACCCACTCAGTCTTTCAAGCATGTAGGAGAAGCTACAGTGCAAAATTCTAAAAACAGCTCATTCTAAAAAATACAACTATTCTTATTTTCAGGTAATAATACACTAATGAAAAAATACCTATGAATATTACATGCATTTCTGACAGTAGATCCTCCTAAGGTGTAGACACTGGCCCTTTAAACAACCACTGCGGATTCAAATCTATCTGACGTGACTCCTTTCTTACTCTCTGACGTATCCCATGTTTTCCCCAAAGTTAAAGCAACTAGAGGAAAGCAAGGAAATGCACGGTTAGCTGAATAGAATGACAGATTTGGGTTTGAATACTGTTGGAAAGATTTGGGATGACGTAAGTACACAACTAAACTAAACTAAATATATAACAAAGACGTAGTGTTCTAAGACATTTTAATAAGGAAATGTTAAAAATATATATATTTAAAGGTCCAGTGTGTAACATTTAGTAGGATCTATTGTCAGAAATAATAATAATAATAATAATAATAATATACTTTATTGTCCTTCACAGGAAATTTGTTACAGCAGTCTGTACATACATACATAAATAAATGGAATATAATATCCATAGGTATTTTTTCATTAGTGTATAATCACCAGAAAATAATAATTGTTGTGTTTTGTTACGTTAGAATGAGCCGTTTTTATGTACAGACGCCATCAGTTGCCATATGGAGTCTGCCATGTTGGACCACCATGTTTCTACAGTAGCCCAAAAGGGACAAACCAAACACTGGCTCTAGATAGTTGCTTTGGCATTGTTTATGTATTTCATGGCCACCGTATTTTCTCCTTCATGCTTGGAAGGTGAAGCTAGATGACACTAAATCCTTTACACTGGACCTTTAAGTTAAAAACATGACTAAAGATCAGACATTCTGACCAACCATAACTAACCACAATTTCTTTATAAATGATTGTTTAAACCTATGGGTACATGGAAATGTCCTGGTAATCTATCCAATATTTGTCAAACAATTTTACTTTTAAAAATGTCAACCTGCTTCCTTCCTCTTTAGCAGCAATACTTTTTTCTCCTCTACCAACACCAAAGTTAAAGATGAAAAATCCAATTATTTCACACTCAATTAAAAGTTGGTCCCAAATACGGAGGCATTTTGGCTGGAAGAATTGTTCAGGACTATAACCAATAATGAATAACCACTCGTTCCCTCCATCACTTTCCGATCTGTCATTTCGCAAATGGCATTTACAAGGAATTCCGACAATCAATGATCTATTTATTGACAACATTTTTCCTACATTTCAGCAACTAAAAGCGAAATTTAATATTCCCAGCACGGACTTCTTTACATACTTAAAAATCCGAAATTTCATAAAAAAGACATTTCCATCCTTCCCAAACAAACCTCTGGTTTCTTCAATGGACACACTGTTTTTGCTTGACCCACAGACTAAAAGAGCTATTTCTAAGATCCATGATGATTTGACACAAACGGACTGCACATCACACTGGATCATCTAAGAGAAGCCTGGATGTCAATGGAAAAAAGCCCAAGAATTTGTCCACTCCTCTTCTGTATGTGCCAGACATGGACTGATACAATTCAAAATTCTACAGAGACTACACTTATCAAAACTACAGCTGTCCAAGATGTTTCCTACAGTCGACCCCCTATGCGACCAATGTGGACAAGCTCCCGCCTCCATAGCACATATGTTCTGGAACTGCCCAAGACTCTGTAATTATTGGGTCAATATCTTCAAAACTCTGTCTGAAGTTCTTAAAATTCGACTCAAACCAGACCCAGTTTTGGCTTTGTTTAGGGTGAAAGCAGCCACAACAGTTTTGTCAAATAACCAATATAATATGATTCGTTACGTGACACTGTTGGCACGAAGGTTGATATTACTGAATTGGAAACAGAAAAACCCACCGGCCCATCCAACATTACTGAAAGAAGTGATGAATCCTTTACAATTGGAAAAGGTTAAATTCTCACTCAGAGGGAATGTAAACAAATTTCAGGCGATATGGCAACCCTTTATAGACCATTTTGAGAAGATAAAACTTTGACTGATAGTCACATAACTAGTGGCATCCCTTTTTCCTTTTCCTCTCGTTTTTCATGCGGCATCCTGTAATGTTTGTTGGGGGGAAGGGGGGGGGAAGTACTCTTTGTATTGCTTAAAAAAAGAAAAAGCACAACATTATAAGATATGTTAATGTGTTGAAAAACTCAATAAACAGAATTTTAAAAATTGCTGTTGGCGCTCAATGAAAAATCGCACTGACTCATCATCATCAAAGTTACTAGGATACACTATTGGGAAAGCATGAATGTATATGGAAGTTTTACACCAACCTATCAGGTTGATGTGGAGATATTTCACTGGATAACTGAAATCCTTGACCTGCTCCCCATCATGGAATGTAGGTAGCATTCTGTTTACTCTGAAGTATACAATATATTATAAAAACTATAGATGTGTACAGAACAGAGGTGTGGAGAAACTGAAGGATACGAGGTCTGCAGGGCAAGGAGCTGTGTGACCAGCAGCTCCAGCTGGCTGTTGAGCTCCTGACAGTTGGTAGTGGGAGTCAGTGACTGAGTTGGAGGGGAGATGATGGGCCAATGAAGTTGAGTCAATACTTTCTCAAAATCACTATGGAACAATGGAAGAGGAGGATTTAGCTCAAATAGTCAACATCAGACACTGATACAGTGATACATCTTTGCATTTCTGAACTATGGCACATTTAGACAAAAAGTGACATAAAGGAACACTAGCTGGGGGTATACCTGGCCAGTCGGTCTTTGATGATCTTGTGCCAGAAGTGAAGTGTTTCTCGGAGGAAGTTCTGAAGATGAGAACACCCAGATTGGTTTAGTCCAGCATCCAGCATAGCCATGCTATCCACTGCCCTTATGGCCTCCCAGACACTGCTGGTCATCAGACACTGCTGAACGGCAGCACTGAAGGCACACAATTAAATTCAATTCAATTTTATTTGTATAGCACCAATTCATAACAGAAGTTATCTCAGGACACTTTTCAAATAGAGCAGGTCTAGACCGAACTCCTTATAACACAACACTTTACATATTACTGCTTCAGACACAGATAGGGAGACGGTCATATTAAAACACAGCATATCCATTTTTATATTCAAATGTTGTTGGAGGTGATGTCTACTTACACCAATCAGCCATAACATTATGACCCCTGACGGGTGAAATGAACAACACTCAATAGCTTGTTATCGTGGCACCTGTCAGTCGGTGAGATATATTCGACATGCAGCAAGAGGAGCCGGGGGATCGAACCGCCAACCTTCCGGTTAGCGGACGACCTGCTCTATCTCTGAGCCACAGCTACCCTACCTCTGAGCCACAGCTACCCTATGTGATAACTAATCAGTGTCTTCATGCCCATACCCTCATTTGGGCATCATCATCGGGCGGCTGTGGCTCAGAGCGGGTCGTTCCTTAATCGGAAGGTTGTGAGTTCGGAAGACTAGAAAGGCGCTATACAAGTACAGGTCCATTTACCATTTACCATTTACAGTACCTGAGTTCCTCTATATGTTGAAGGCACCGTAGATATTTCATGTGTCTCTCTATAGTGTCGACTTGGTTAAGTGTCTGGCCAAGATTATCCATCCAAGGCTGGGCCCCCTGTAGGTGCTAGAAGACGGAATAATTGACAGAGACAAACAATTGCTTATACTTGTCAGATCAGCATAAGTGAAAGGACTTTATCCTTGCTTCATCTCTCTATCAAAGTAACATTAGGGAAACATTTGATAGTCATTCTTGTTTAACATAGTGACCATATTGAGTTGCAATGTTTACGCAATATTTTGTATCTGGCATGTGGGAGAGAGATCTGAAGCCCTTTTTATCCTCACTACAGTGGCAGCAAAGTTAGAGAACAGCAGAGGCTCGTCTCCTTTACAATAAATAATGGTCAATTCACAGCATCTTATTGTTTTATTTATTATTATTATTATAAAAAAAATGGATTGAACATTTTATGACACTGCTATGTTAATAAGAAATAGACTTGAGTTTTATATATAATATCTAAATAAATATATAAAATTTAACATAAATCAGATCAGAATCGCCATGCTGCAGTTATTTCCTGTTGCCAGTAGGTGGCACTATGACTATATCAACAAAACTTCACGTCTGATAAGAGTCTGAACAATATTCAGACTCTTATCAGATGTGAAGTTTCGTTGAGATCATGTACACTGAAGTTATGACTTCCTTTTTCATGGTGATACGTCAAAATTGGACGCCATGGGCACGCCGTTTGACAGAATGTCGTAAATAGCACAACTTTTAATCATGAATGTCTTTGGATTGCACTGATTAAATTTGAAGTTGATCTGATAAATTCCCTAGGAGGAGTTCGTTCAAATACAGCGTGTGCAAATCGCCCAAAATGACCACGAAATTCAAAATGGCCGACTTCGGGGCACCCGGTTAGCTTTAGCTGGTAGAGCTGGCGCCCCATGTAACAAGGCTGAGTCCTTGCTACAGTGGCCCAGGGTTGCTTTGTGTCATCCCCTCTCTCTGCCCCCCTTTCCTGTCTGTCTTCAGCTCTCACTATCAAGTAAAAGGCAATAAAAGCCCCAAAAAAACCCTCATGATATCTTGGGGTCATTTTCGACCCCATTTCAATGTTCTTTATGTCAAAAATATGGCATTTTTTTAATCTAATTTCACCAAAATAACATGGGCTGTTCCATGGTATGGTAGCTCCACATAAAATCACTTTTGAGCACTTTCACTGAATTTTGGGTGTTTGATTGAATTTTAGAACACTTGTGTTTATCCCCACCGCGATTGACCCCAGAAAGGCTATTGGGTTAAATTGTGCAAACACATGCATACACGCATATAACATACACGCACAAACACACACACACACACACACACACCATACAAACACGCATGCAAACAAAATAGGATTGTTATTTGAGGTCTTTGAATTTGTAATTAAAATTATTTACAAAATTATTTTTGTAAAATCTCACTCTTCAATATCAAAATATTATTTTGCTCCTAAATTGCATCAGTCTATTCTGAGCTGGGGATGTCCTGGCTAATATTTGACATATACCAGTCTGTGATAATCCATAATAATTCATAATTTATTTTACAGTATTTCAACCATGAAAGGGTGAAACTTGTCGTATTGAGTTGGAATAAAGCTGACTAAAAAGGTTAAACACAGAATTGGGTGATAATTTATATTTTATGCTTCATTAACAGTCAAACCAGAAGAGGCCAATTTTGACCCCAGAGGACAACAGGTGTCATTATGTGTCACCCTTAAATTTTAATTTAATTTAAATGCTTTCAAAACGTGTCCTGACTAAACTTTTAACCATTTTCCAAGAGGATTTTTGCTTGTCCGATCATGATACACATGCATACCAATTTGTCGGTTGTACATGTCTTGGGGGCAACATGGCACCGTGGTTCTTCAACATGTCATCATCATCATCCAAAGGGAGTACTATTTTCAGGTTCAGTAATGAACATTAAAATTCATCCGACTCAAAATCATATTGGGATTATTTTGACAGATATGGCAATTGCAATATGATAGTAGGAATTATAATTTTTGTATCATAATTAAAATTTTCAATGAAAAAAACTATTAAAATCGTGATGATGTGACATTTGTTGGGGTGGGTACCAAACAAACATGTTTTCTTACATCTGGAGAACAAGATCTGTAATCCAGGGCATGAAGTACTGCATCACGTCATTATGATGTTTTGTCACACCTTTTACCTTTATCAAAAAAATTGCTGGATATTGCACTATATTGTGATTTGGAACATATTTTGATTAACTGTGCTGCCCTAATTGATTGAACCCAATATTTACAGTGACATCCAGCCCAAGTCACATGTGATATCCCTAATACCACTAATTGTCAGTGAGTAACCACACACTGCTGCCCTGTTTGTTTTTTACCTGGTGCAGCATGTTGGAGATCAATCGCTCTCTCTGCAGCAGGTCCTCCAGGGAACATCGTGCCTCCTCTGCAGCAGACAGAGCTGCAAAAACTTTAGGAGGCACAGAGCTGGATACAGTCAGAACCTGAAAGAAACAATAATACAGTCACTGCTCATATTTGACACAGTAATGGATTGGACAAGTGCTGTCCGCAGTTGCAAAGTTGTACGTTGATACCAGACGCATAAGGCAGCTTATTAAAATATCATCTTCATTTTATAGGAATTTATTGGATGCAAATTAGCTACAGAGGGAAAAAAAGGCCCTATCTACAGCGATTCAACATAGCAGACACTGTGAAGAGGACACATATGAGAGAATGCTATTTATTGACTATAGTTCAGCATTTAGTACGTTGCGCCATCCCCACCTAGACTCTCAACACCTCACCTCCTGTACTTATAGAGAGGAGGTCAACCCCTGACACTGATCCCAAGACAACAACTTCCATCTCAACATCAATGAAACAAAGGAGCTGATTGTGAACTACAGCAAGTGACAGGGAAGGAAACACCCCAATCACCATCAATGGAACTGTAATGGAGAGAGTCAGTGGCTTCAGGTTTCTCCAGTGAGGAGTCCTTTCCAGCACACACCACTGTGGTCCAGAAACAGGAAATGGAACAATCGAGGCAGTGCTGGCTTCTGAAGTACAATAAGCTTATTTGTGCTTTATTTCAGAGAAAGACAGATGAATGTCCTGCTGTGTTCACTTTGTTATCTGAAGGCAGTAGACACTGAGAAATTATCAAGTTCAAATGTTTTATCTGCAGTGAAGACAAGCTTTGACTGACTTTCAATCTTACTTGTGAAATTTTTAAATGCTTTGTTTCATTTTTGGAATAGAAGGCACAGAAAATAATCACAAATAGCATTTGGCACAAAGCCACAGTTTACCGTAATTCAAACTCAAATCCAGAGCCAAACAGAGAAAAGCCCATTTTACGACCATGCCTGTTCCCAGAAACTTTGCCTCCATATGTGCCGGACTGATGCTGATTCCGGTGTCTACTGCCTGACCGACTTTAGCTTTCACAGGACCAGCAGTGGCTGAAACACTGGCTACATCTGTATTTGCAGCGAGGCTGTGGCTCCTGCGCTGGCGCTGGGACCTTTGGCCTCTGCGTCACAAATGATCCATTCAGCATGGGCAAGGCCCACTCCTGCACCAGCGTACGCTCCTGCTTGTGGAATACGCTCCGTGGGTTTATTCTCAAATGCATTTACATGTGTCCCAGCATCAGCGTAGGTCCCAGCAGCAAAAGCTTTACCAGGCCAGTCAAAGGTGTCAATCATCCCCAGAAACATTGGCATGGCCTGCAAACAAAGAGACACTATGTTCCATCTCAAAGATGAAAAAAGAATCATTTTACCAGTGGAAAATATTTTTGTGGAGATTTCAAGAATATTTTTGAAAATAAAGGCGTATTATTACAGAAATGAAAAATAACATTTCAAAAGTAATGTTAGTAATATTTTGAGAAAAAGGTCATTACATAATCAAGAATTATTTAACAGAAAAGTCATATTACTTTATGAGGGTCAAAGTATTTGGCTTTGATAATTTCTCCAGAACGATAAACTTCTTTCTGGAGAGTCCCTGCTGTACACCTGTCATCCTGTCTGCTGTGGTCTCTCTTTGCTCTTTTTTTTTTTTTCTGTGTTTGGGACCACCACACACAATAGTCGGATAAATAAATAATTGTTAGATGTTGCTTAATATAGACCTCAGTGACTAAATAAGATTAGACATAAGCCATTGTAACCAGAGGATTGGCAAAAAGATCATCAGAAAAGGGTCGACTCGACCCCCCAGGGTTCCCGGTCAACCCTAAAATTCACAAAGCCATTGGTGGCAATATACTGGTGTATATTGAAATCCCAAATCCCTATATCAGACTGACTGCTACAAAGACTGACTGACTTGAGAATAAAAGATTCATGCACCAAGCAAAATAAAATAACTGCGTATGGATGAATCCAATGCATGTGTGTGTGTGTGTGGCTGCAATTCAGTGTAAATTGCTAGGTTCTGACCCTAATTCATATGGCAAAGTGATTTAATACATGTGTTTTGTGCTGGCATGTTGTGTAACTATTGTGTAAAACTTATTCTGTATATACATGTTCAAGGTTGAAGTGAAACAACAAAGTTGAGTAGGTGAAGTAGACGGACCAGTAGATTGGTAGAAAAGGAATGACTTGGTTGAGATGGTGCGAGAAACAGTTGAAATAGAGAAGTTGTTAAGTTCCAATAACTGTGAGTCAAAGTAGGAAAATAGGGAAGATTTACGAAAATACTAAAAAACCAAATCATATCAAAATATACATTACATATATACGTGTGTGTACAGTAATACTATGTCTGAAGTGAAATACCTTTTTATATTTTGTATGTATATACAAAAGAATATTTATTTTATCTTATCTCTAATACAACATCGAAGAGTGTAAATATATGCTGCATGCAGATATTCATGCTTTGAAAGCTTAGAAAGACTGCCAATAGAGCATCCGGTCGAGGGCAGCTCAGCCCATAGCTCCACCTATTTGGCAAAAGACACAGACACTTCCCGTGCACTTCCGTCACCACAACAAAGGGGAGACGCAGAACGTGTAAAAACTAGTAGGCTTTACAAGAAGTCTTTGTGCGTGCGTGCGTGTGCGTGTGTATGTGTATGTGTATGTGTGTGTGTAGGTGTGTGTGTAACTGCTCAAGAAACAACCTTCCCACCATCCCACCAACCAGCCCCTACTTTCATAATGAATGGTGAAGTCTTACTCCCTTCTTTTAGTTTAAGGGCTGGTATTTATGCCCCATGATGAGTGTACTCCAGCAGTTAAACTGAGTGCGCAAATCATAAAGCATCTCCTATAAGGTTAGGTTTATGCAAATATATATGCTTTGTGGTATGATATATATAATATATACCAAATGATGCAGTATGTACAGTATTGGTAATATATTTTTTGATTGACAAAATTGCAATCTGACACACAGAGGTACCATATGAAGTATTCTCATCAGTTATTTTTATTACACCTACAGATAAATCTTAGTTCTAATACAAATCTAGTATTAATCTGCTGCTGACATTTCTTCTTTTTCTTTCAGAGTAAAATGTCTGTCGTGAGGGTGTCAGGTAGGCAAACATCATATATAAAGATTAAAGGCAGAATGAGTAAGATTTTCAAAAAAACAATGTATAGATTCATACAAAAAGAACCCCTCACAATCAAGTGTGTGGCAGTGTTACGTATATGTGTAGGCATGTTTACTTGTGTTTTAGAACGTAATCGCCATGAAAGTGCATACTTTCCATAAAAAAGTATTTGAGACGGTCTTCTGTGGACTGTTATCATTGTGGAACAGGGCAGCAGGGACTATCTATCTCCAGACAAAAGTTTATGGTTTTAGAAAATTATCAAAGTCAAACACTTTGACAATTGTAAAGTAATGACTTTCACCATAAAACAGTGTTTCTGTAACAAAATTCTTGAATATATATATGATTCAAGCATTTTAATTGACCCTAAACCTAAACTAAATTATAATTCATATGAAAGTCTCATTCTAAGTCGTTCTCACCCAACCTGGAAAACACTGCAGCCAGTTCTGTATGTTATAGTGCACGCTCCTGGACCATACTCTGATTTTATATCTGAATTCTCAGAGTTTTTATCAAGTTTAGTCCTTAAATCAGATAAAGTAATTATTGTAGGTGATTTTAGTATTCATGTGGATGTTAACAATGACAGCCTTAGTAATGCATTTATCTCATTAATAGACTCAATTGGCTTCTGTCAGAGTGTAAATAAACCAACTCATTGTTTTAATCACACTCTTGACCTTGTTCTATCATATGGCATTGATATTGAACATTTCATGTTTTTATCATTTTGAATTTCATTTACTAGATTATAAGCCATTAGGCAAAACATCCTACAGCAGATGTCTATCTGACAGTGCTGTAGCTAAATTTAAGGAGGAGATTCCATCAGTGTTTAATTAAATGCCATGTCTGAATTTAACAGAATCCTATAACAACTTTAGTCCTTCCCAAATTGATAATCTTGTTAATAGTGCTGCAGGCTCACTGCGAACAACATTAGATTCTATCGCCCCTATAAAGAGGAAAGTATTAAAACATAGGAGACTAGCACCGTGGTACGACCACCAAACCCGCCAATTAAAGCAAAAAACAAGGAAATCTGAAAGGAAATGGCGCTCTTCCAAATTATTAGAATATCGCTCAATTTGGCAAGATAATCATAAAACATATAGAAAGGCCAATGATATAATAATGCCAGAGAATTATTCAGCATTAATAGAAGAAAATAAGAACAACCCCAGGTTCCTCTTCAGCACTGTAGCCAGGCTGACAGAGAGTCACAGCTCTATTGAGCCACATATCCCCATAAACTTAAGTAGCAACAACTTTATGAGCTTCTTTTATAATAAAATTATTACTATTAGAGACAAAAGACAGACCGATCTTCATCAGCTAACTTCAATAATTTCTACATCGAAGCCATCAACCTGTCTATTAGACCTGATCCCAACTAGGCTGCTTAAAGAAGTCTTACCCTTAATTGGCACTTCTTTACTGGATATGATTAATCTTTCTTTATTGTCAGGATATGTACCACAGTCCTGTAAAGAAGCTGTAATTAAACCCCTTCTTAAAAAGTCCACTCTTGACCCAGGGGTTTTAGCCAACTATAGACCGATTTCTAACCTCCCCTTCCTCTCTAAGATTCTGGAGAAAGTAGTCGCCAAACAGTTGTGTGACTTTCTATATAGCAACAGCTTATTTGAGGATTTTCAGTCAGGATTTAGAGTTCATCACAGCACAGAGACAGCTCTGGTTAAAGTTAACATTTTGGTATCAAAATATCTTACCGAAGTATCCATTCTCGTGACATCTCTAGTCTTATTTTTAAAGTATTAAGATATTCTTGAAATCTCCATACAAAACATTTTCCACTCCTTCTCTTGTCATCTTTGGAATGGAAAGTAGTGTCAGATGTTTCTGTTGATGCATCCGGAGCGCTGGAGATGATTGACACCTATGACCGGCCTG